GGGGCTTTTGTTTCCACACCACCTATCCACTCCTCAGGCTACGGCCTGTGTGAGCAGTTGGACGCCGGATGCACCAAGCACCCACACAATCCAACACCCCCAACAAGAGGATATAGGAAGAAGAAGAGCGAGAAAACTGACTGGTCAAAGTAAAGACAGGGAATTCGCTCACCATTTTGTTGAGGGCAAAACAGTCATGGTTGGAGAATTTAACTCAAAACATTTAATTTCCAACATGGGTATCAGGAGTAAAAAAAAAGAAACACATAAACACTTGGGGAAAAAACCCTTTCCTCCCATTTTCCCATACCCAGCACCTCTCCTCTTGCCTACCTCACTTCTTTGCCATTACAGCCAGTTACACCCTATCCCTTCAGTAAGACAAAAGGCAGCACAGAGTGCTAGAGTCAGGACAGCAGCAGCTCTCTGCTGCTCCTAGCTTTCCATGTGTTTCCTCTACTTAGGCAGAGAGAACAGTCCTGATGCTGATATGCTGTGTCTATTTTAATTAAATTCAGCACACACTTTAATAACAATTTATGCTTTCTGGATGGATGAAGACCATGTAATCAGTAACCTTACAGACTGCATGTACAGAACGCATGTAAGCCTCATTTGTCTTCACTGTGTTCTGTTCTCCTCTTTACCTGCTCAGGTATTTCTTTTCTATAGTGTTAGGCTTTAGCTGAATGTCCTCCCAAAGGCATTGAGTGTAGCACCAGGCCCCTGCTCCCCAGAATCAACACTAGGTAAGAGCACTAATAGCTGTATCCTGGCATCACTTGGTCATGACCTTGATAAGTACCATCAAACATAGAGGGTTTAAGTGATTTTGCAGATTAAAGAAGTCCACAGATGGTAAAGTAATAATGCCTGGCTGCTAAGGAAAAAAGCAAATGTCACCTGTTTCTTACATTAGCAGCCAGTGAATTCTTGTGCAAATATTATATACCTACCACCCTGGCAGCAGGTGAATATTTGTAGGTCCCAGGGGACTAATCTAGTATTACTGTAAGGCCCTACTGTGAAATACTGCAAAAGCATCATTTGATAAGTAAAATTTTTAAAAAGCTGGACATACTGGTCTTTAAGATATTTATCCCTCTACAGAAGAAGTGTCAGCTGTTTCTTAGAAACCTTGAGTCTCTGAATAGATCTTGTAACAGTTGCTTGCCATAGACTAGGCTATAACTTCAGATTTGGAATAGCAAAAGGATTTTCAGGCTCTTCAATCATTCCTGGGTACCACTAACAATGAGTAGGTGAACTGCTATGGATAAAAACTTCTGTTGCTTTGTAAATAATGAAATTAATTCTTCTTTTCCTGCTTGATTAAGAAAAAGGAAACAAAGCAGGTATTGAAATTAAGTGCAATAGGTAAAGTATAAGACCCTAATAGCCTTGTTACTCTTGCTTTCCTCTAGTCCTTGTTTCAGCTAACTTTGAATCAGCGTAACTTACAGTATCATATGTTTAAAAGACAAGCGGAGGGAGAAGCTGATTTCAGCTCTCTTACCATAATAATCTTGTGTTTATCATTATAGTGAGAACAAGCAGCCTCAGTACTCCAAAGCTCTGACTGGCATGGATAGGTTTCTCTCATCTTCCACGCCATGTCATCTCCGATTATTTGTAATTCTGGCCCATTTCACTGGCCTTGAAATTACCTAGCTTCAACATGTGCCACCATAATAAATGCCTGCCCACTTTTGACACAGTTAATCACACACAGACTCTTATCTGGAAGATAAAACAAGTCATAGGATGTATTGATGAAACACAAGGTAAATGAAATACAGGTTTTGGCATAACAGTTTATGAATATTAAATGCAGTCTCAGTTGAGTTTCTATGTCTAGCATATATATATAGATACTATATCTATATATATATGCATATACATATAGATACTATATCTATCTATATATGCATATACATATATCTATATACACATATAGATATATGCATATATTTATATGAGTAAGTATAAAGATAAGTCAGTTTGATCTCTGGAGTAATACGAAGCATGCCAGCACAGAGCAGCTTTCCCACCCCCCGGCTCAAAAAAACCCAACTAACCACCGCCTCTGCAAACAAATACATTTTATGAGAGTGAATGCAGGATTATGGATCAAGCTTAAATCAACTGAGGAGTCTTAAACACCATCGTTTGTTCAGAACATGGATCACTCCCATCTAAGAACGATATCCTATTTTCTTTCAAACCCGTCTAATTAAGTTCTAAGAATGGGGAAAAACAACACCCAAGTGTTTTCACCTGCTTTATTACTTTATTCATGAACAGTTTTTCTCCGTCACTTTCAATTGCAGCTAGAGTATTTGCATAAATTCTTACCATCTGAAACAATTTATTTGCTATTTTAACCCCAAAATTACAAGTAATTTTACTTTCAGGATAAAACTGGTTGTGGTTGTGGCAAGCAGCAGTACAAAAAACAGAAGGAAGCATTGGTGGCTAATACCGTGGAACTCTGTTGCTATTTTGTACCTTGAAGACACTCTGTGGGTGTATGAAAAGGCAGATTCATCATTAATGGTTTATCAGAATCTGAAGTTAAGACATTTAACTAGTCTGGTTTGTTTCAGGTATTTGTACAGCTGCAAAGAAATTGTATTACGAAGAAATACATCTGGAAGCCTTGGCTTCAGCATCGTAGGAGGTTATGAAGAACACACTGGAAACAAACCATTCTTCATCAAATCCATCGTTGGGGGGACACCGGCATATAATGATGGCAGAATTAGGTAAAGATAACTAATGAAATGTAGCATTTAAGTCTTTCATCTAGTTCACTGGTGGGCGGTGGGGGAAGGGGTGTTAAAACTAATTTTCATGAAGGCTCTGTGTGGGAGGGAAAACTCATTGATACAGAACTAACTCTGTGAGATATGGAAATAAGATGTAAGTGTCCTGAACTTTAATACATTTGCCTTCATAGTAGCATGTGTTCAGCTGCCTTGCAATCACTAGTATATGAGTAAGAATAAAGATAAGTCAGTTTGATCTCTGGGGTAGCACAAAGCATGCCAGCTCAGAGCAGCTTCCCCACCCCCCAGCTCCAAAAAACCCAACCAACCACCTTTTCTGCAAACACAAATACATTTTAAGAGAGTGAATGCAGAATCATGGCGCAAACTTACATCAATTGAGAAGTCTTAAAAAACACAGGTTGCTCAGAACATGGATCACTCCTATCTGAAAGGACTGTATCTTCTTTCAAACCTAATTAAGTTCTAAGTGGAAAACCAAAAAAAAACAACACCCAAGTATTTTCATCTGCTTTATTCCCTTATTCATGAACAGTACTTAGCTAGAGAAGGAATAGAAATACTCATTTCTACCCCTTCCTCCCACGTCAAGCACATGCTTTAGCATTTGCAAACTTTTAAGAGAAGAAGTCACCTCGTTCAAATTGTTCTCATATTTGCCTTTGGTTTTTCAGATGTGGCGACATCCTCCTTGCTGTCAATGGCAGGAACACATCAGGAATGCTGCATGCCTGCTTGGCACGGATGCTCAAAGAACTGAAGGGGAAAATTACTCTCACAATTGTGTCCTGGCCTGGCACTTTTTTATAAAACAACTCTGTGGAGAGGAACATCAGGTTTTGCTTTTGGGGGAGGTCAAGTATGTATTGATAAAGAAAAGGTTGGTGAAATTTCAATCCGCATGTCAAGAAAAGTCAAATTTAGGCAAAGCAGGGACATCTGTCAGAAAATCACTTCGGAGTGATTTGTTACAGACTTAAGCCTTTCCTTCCCCATATTCTTAAGGGTTTTTTTGTTGTATTTCTTTTTTATATATATATGTATATTTAATGCATTATAATAATACTGAAATGTCAGGAGGAGCAGCTCCTGCTCACTCACTTTATTTTGATTTACAAAAAGAAATCCTTGAATAACTTACAGAACAATTTCTTGCCATTTTTTCTAGTTGCAAAAATGAGGTGAAGGTTTTTATCCAACACAGTAATAGCACTTGGATTATGTGTATCTTTTCATGGTCAGCATGAAGCTGGTATTTTCAAGACTTTCAAGTACTGTTAGTCTGTAAAACTGTGAATTAAATTTCTAAAATAATTAAAAAATAACTGTAACTGTGTACTTGTACAGACATTCTTTTCATCCAAAACCAAGCAACCCAGTTTCCCTGGTTTGATTAATACTATTAAATATAGGGGTTTTATACAGAATTATTGTTTTTAAGGACATACTCTGTTAACACCATAAAGTAAGTCTTCTAAACAGCACCATGCCAATCACACAATGCTGTTCTGCATGGAGTAATTCTGCTAGTGATGACAGTCTTATATTTTTTCTAAAAATAGTTCTTTGCCTTTCTCTGCAAATGAACCACTTTCCGAAGTGTTAACTTTTCCTCACAAGCTAGCAATGGGAAGAGGATATATTTGTTAATCTTTATCATGTCAAGGACAGCTGTACCTCTAGAAGAAAGACTAACATGAACTTTCTCTTAAGCCACTGAAAAGCAGCAGGGATGATTATCCAAATTAATTCACCCTTATGCACCCACACAAACCAGACATAATTACCAAGTGTATCAGAGTGTTCCATCAGACTAAGAACAATCAGCACCTTGCCCAGTTTCCCTATTTTTTTCATTTCACCTTAGTACAAGATTCTTGAAGACAAGAGTCTGCAATTCCTGCCTGTCCCTGTAGCAAAAGATGGACCTTTTCAAATATGAATTCCAAAAGTTATACTAAACCCACACTGTTCCAGATGTTGGTATATAATAAAGTGAATGTACACTGTTTCTAAATTCAGTAAAACAATGACCTTCCCAGTGGCTTATAAAAAACAGGAGACACTTTTAACACAAATAACTTAACTTAAGCCCTACATACACTGTAAGAGCATAAGGCCCTAGCTAATTAAGAGGTTTTCTCACTTAAAAGACAAAGTCAGTCCAGGAATCTTAACATGAAAAATTCATTCTTTTATTTTCAAAAAAAAAAAAAAAAAAGAAAGAAAACAAAAAAGAAAACCAAACAACAAAGTAAACTTTGATTTCAAACTAACAGAACAAGATTAAGAGCAAATTATTTTAATACCCAGAAAAATAACAAGATTTATAGTAATCTATTTCTGGCACTAATATATATGCAAGTAGACAAAAATCACACAAGCCTATTCCGCAGGGGCAGCTTCAGTGTTTTCCTGTTCAGGAGCAGGTTCACCACTGGCTTCTTTTCCTTCTTTGCTTCTTTTGGATTTTTTGTGTTTGTGCCTTCTATGGCTATCCCCTTCTTCACTGTCATGACGACGTCTGCTGTTACTAAATAGAGAGAAAAAATCACTCAAACAATTGCATGACAGGCATCATTTCATTACAGAGTACCATAAAAACAGCCTTTGTATTCATATTTGAAAACTGGCACCTGCTCCAACTCATACAGTATTTGGATATCAGCACCAAAATGAATTTTTCATGGAGTGGTGCATACATCCCCCCATCCTATACTTTTTGTTGGGAAATTGGAATGATTTTTCACATTTGTAACCCATATTCTAATAGTAATACTTATATAAGTCATGCTCCTACTGGCATCTCTTAATGATTTAACATTCTTATTGACCATGTTCACTGTACTCAACATTTATTTCTAACTTCAAAAGTATCAAGTTGAACAATTTCTATCAAGCGACTATGAGGGTTATTTTACTTACTAAGTACCATAGTTCAGTTCCTATGTTAATGCTTCTGAATGTCAGCTTCACTCCACCTCTTTCTGACCCATTTCTTTAGCCATCTTTCCCCAAATTCATAATTTCTGCTCACTAGCTAAGACTGTCACATACATCATTCAGTATGAAGTTACCCGGGGCTAACATTGCTTTTTGTCTGTCCACATTTTATATGGCAGACTTGCTCCAATTAGTACATCAAAGTATTTACAGTCTTTCCACAAACTCCAGCTTGTTTGGGGGTCTTTTAAAAGTTTATTTTTTTAAGCTGCTCAAGTCTTTCGTATCCTATTAAAAAACTCAAAAATCAAACCTTCGAGATGACTTGTGCCTAGTATCTTCTTTTTCTCTGTGTCTCCTGTCTCTGTGTCTGTCTTCTTTCTCTCTACTTGTTCTATGGCGGTCATAGCCTCTTTCCCCATAGTCTCTGTATCTATATCGCTCTTCATCACTGATTAAAAAAGAAGACATTTTCAGGACACTAATACCATATTTATGCTAAAAAAGAAATTCTTACACACTCACAAGATAGATAGAAAAATATTAATGTTGCTGCTGAGTTTTTAGACGAGATCCACCACATATGCTAAAAGGCCATTAAAACTCTTCACCTTACACATTAAGACTTCTGTGGTTAATGCAATTTTGAAAGGGGATTGTTCAACAAAATGGAAGGTACAACAGGGTCACATGTTTATACAGGAATTATCAAGCAGTTAGCTTAAACCTGTATCTAGCTGCAAATAAAGTCCAATCCTACATAACCTTTAGTTATATTCAGGTCAGTGTGTGTAAAGCTCAACACTTATCAAAACACTTTTTGATTATTATACCATTTGGGTAAATTAAATTAAATTTCGGTACAGTTAATTTACTTCCTTACATCAGCTTCAAGAAAGGAAAAGCTGGGTGCAAAGGGACCAACAGTAACATATACTCAGTGTTTTGGGTTGCTTTTAAAATTCATTTGTGTCCAGTGCCAATGCTGCCTCTACTTCCACTCCTCTCTTGGATTACTGCAAGTGCAGCCCTGCCACAATGCTGGTAAACCCCCTAAACATTACAGGCTACACAAGAATCTAAAGGCTTTATTTAAGAACGTATTTTCGTATTTTGACAGCTCAAGAGATTTTTCATGTCCTGGAGCAGTGAGAACTTGGATCAAAACAATTTTATTTGCTGTAACTTGGGCACTAGTCTTTCTATGAAACTCTGTAGGATTATGTCATGAAGCAAATTTCAAAAATTAGCAATTTGAGACACTGTAGGGAAGCATCAAATGCCCTGCAGAAAAATCCTGGTTTTCTGAGGGACATTAAGAACATTCACACATCAAAATCAGAAAAACTACAGTTAGTACTAAAGAACTCAGAGTTACAATATGTCCATCTGTAAAATGACTGCATTAACTGGTGCCTGTATTGTTACAAAATTGTATAACATGTATAAGATTTTATAATGCACGTAAAAATACAGATCTGAGAATAAGCTGATCAGATCCAGTAAAGTACATTTGTGACAGATCATATCATCACAGAATGGTTCAGGTTGGTAGGCATGACTGGAGGTCATCTGGTCCAAACCCCTACTCAGGCAGAGCCACCAGGACCATCAGTTGCACAGGACCATGTCCAGATTGGCCTATGGGTATCTCCAAGAATAGAGACTCCACCACCTCTCTGGCCAGCCTGTGCCTGTGCTCAGTATCCCTCACAGGCATCATGCCACTATCACGTCTCCGATCTATTGCCCCCCTCTTAAGACAAAAGCAAAATTCAACGGCATTAAACACTTTTTAAAAAGCCTATGTTAAATCTAATGTCTCTCCCGGGAGAAAACCCTACTACAGACACACATAAACTTGTAAAAAATGAAGGCAGAACAGCCACAGAACACGAATTCTGACCATGCTACTCCACATCCAGCTTAAGGCACACTAGGTTATAGTCCAGAATGTGAAAAGAAATGCAACTGCTCCACTGAGATGTCCAAAACTCAGACAGGTAAACTAAAGCAGCTGCGGGTGAGGGCAAGGGAGAAAACAAATCCCCAGTCTTAAGAGTGCTGAAATCTCCAGTCCTATGCCTTTAACCAGTTTCTATCCGTATCAATCGTTTACCATTGCTTTACCCTTAAATTTCTATTCTACTATTGGAAAGGCGAGAACTGTAGGGGAGACATTTACAATCCAAGTCCCATTCTACTGAGCATTTCTTCTCATAAGAACCTAACTAACTCCAGGCTTCAGCAAAAGGGGCAAAACCAACACTTAGAAATGAAATGTCACAGAAAGATGAAGGTTGATATCAACTGCTAGTTTCTAGGACAAGTCATATGGAAGAGAAGACTAACTTAGCTTGCACAGCAGTTAGTAAGCTCAGAATGACAGCCTTCATTTCATCTGTTTGAAGTGTGTCTTAATTTGGTGTGTAAGAAAAGCACGTGCCTGGTGAAGTCCAGTTATAAAGCTCAGGTTCAAGGGGGGGGGGTGGTGGGGTGGTGGTGAGGGGGTGGTGAAGTATAATGTTAAAAATTAAATTAAAATTAGGTTCTGAAATCTACCAAAAGTTATAACCAAAGGTAAGGCCCGATTTGACTTTGAACAACAACTGAAAAATTTTGTTAGATGGGGGGCTCCTGTATTAAAACACCTTTGAAGTGCCACTAGTCATCACAGTTTTAGGAACATTTCATTTCTGCAGGCTTGCAGGGATAGAGAAAGGTAGAATCAATTCAACTGTAGTTTACACCCAACATGTGATATTATTTGCCAGACTGATCACTGTCTAATTAAAAAGTGAAAATTTTAATGTCTAACATTGCCTTCTGATGAGCTTGCTGTATGAACGTAAGATGGTTACTTGTAGACTTCCAGCTTCATTTCAAAGTTGAGAGCCAAAGCCTTCAACATTAACTCACAGTCTGCATTTACTCTGTTACACAACTATTATAAAACACTCTAGAAAAGGTTAAAATATTACTGATACTCCTTTATAAACCTTATTTTGGCAAACTACTAAGGAAACATGACAGCTTGTGTGTCTGAAAATAAGCAACTTTTCTATAAGTAAAGCAAAATACCAGTTTGCCAAGTTCAGTATGTTGGAGCTTTAAGGAACAGGAATAAATGTCATGTACCCAATGTTGCAGCAGTGATCTCCTCCTCACTTTGTATATGGGCTTACATTACAGTTATCAAAGCCTTCCAGAGACAACACTGAGAGCACTACAGCCTTTGACCTGTGGAAGAGGATCTACAGTTACCTGTGCTCTCCTGGCAAAGAAGCCCCAAACCAATCCAATCCATAGTATCTTTGTTCTCTACACCTTTGGTTACTTTTTCAAAACAGACCCCAACTTCACCAAGCTATTAACTTCACAAATGGGGAGATCTCACTTTGGTAGAGATACCAACCTTTTTATATCTGTATTCAAAAAGCTTCTCCATACATTTAAAAAACCCTTCAACAAAGAATCACAGAAGGAGTTAGGCTGAAAGGGACTTTGTGGACGTCACTTGGGCTAACCCCTCCTCGATACAGGGCTAACTCAGAAGTCTGGTCAGGCAGCTCAGGGCTTGTTTAGTCACGTTTTGAGCATCAACAAGGCTGGAGATTCTATGATCTCTCTCTGAAACCTGTCCTAGCACCTGATCACTCCTTTTGTGATTATTTCCTCACTATTGGAATTTCCCTTGCTATGACTTTTAACTACTATGTCCTGTTCTTTCTCTGTGAACCCTGAAAAAGAGCCTAGCTTTATCTTCTCTATGACCACCCATTAGGTGCTGAAAACAGCCTTAAGAACCCTACTCATACTTCTGAAAACAGCCTTAAGAACCCTCCTCATACTTCTCCTTTCAAGCTAAATAAACTCCATCCTCTTAGCCCTGCTAACTACTTTGTCAGACCTCCACTGGAGTATCCAGTCTGTCAATGTCTTCCATATCAAGGGACCAAAAACTGGGCACAGAACTTTGCATGTGTTATCAAGTGCCAAATAAGAGGGGAATAACGGCATTCTCCACCTGTGGGCTACACTCTAACACGGCTCAATGCATTTTGACCTTTATTACACACTAGGTGCTGAGTCCCATTCAATTTGCTGTCCACCAGGACACTAAGTCCTTTTCTGTAAAGCTGCTTTCTAGCCACACAGACCCCCATCTGCTCTGCTGCATGGGATTACTGCATTCCAGGGCCTTAGAAATATAGTTGCTGGGTTTTGGTTTAGTTTTTTCAAATTGGTGAGGAAGAACAACAAAATGGTAAGGTATCAATCAAATTCCAAAGTGTATATTTTTAGCGGTAACAAATTGACTTGAAACTAGCAAAACACAAAAACCCTTTGCAGAAGGGATAACAGTCTAAAAAGTACGGCATCTTCTCAAGGGAGCAGTGAGATACAGTGTAAAAACACATAATTTCATCTGACATAGCAGGGTAAAGGTAGAGCAGAATATAAAGACAGCTGAAGATTCATTTTTTAACCACATTTTGGTTATACGAATAGAATAAAAATAATTCCATTTTCTTACAGTTCTAGGAAATACTACAGCACAAATACAGGCTGCTGATCTGGAAAAGAACTGCTAAAAACAATGAAAGCAGTAATTTCTGAGCAGTAAAAAGCTGAAGATGATGTTTACTCCAAATCATACCACAGTGCCGCTTGAACAAAGTTTAAACAAAGGGAATTTGAACGTAATGAATCTGTATAGTCTCTTTTTAAAAGAGTTCACCTTCTCCTCCTCACAGCTCTTTTATTTTCTTAAGTGCACAGAACTGAAAATAAACCTTCTTAAAAAACGTTATGTCTGCATGTTCTCTCTTAAGCCTCTCCCAACTTCTCTGTGACTCCCAAACCAACTTACACTAGTTAAGGGCCTCCCGTTTTCTTACACAGCCATGTGGCAACAGCTTTGCTACAGATGGTGGATAATTTAGTCACATAAAAAAGTTGAGGCCTGCTCTTCCCCCTCCTTTACAGATAACTCTGGCAGCAGCACAGAGATTTCGCGAGGCCTGGAAGCTATTAAGGTTCATTTCAAGCACCCTTGAATGACCAGGCTTCTTTCTGGCCTTCAATCAAGCTGTCTGAGAAACAGATGTTTAGATTGGTCTTGAGTTCTCAGAAACTGACCCTGGAACACAGCAAATGCACACAGGAGAGGACATCACACCATCAGCATACATGGAAAATCCCTTATCTTGCACCTACTTTGGGTCTTCAGCTAGCATTCATCATGCAAAAAATGTCATCTTTCAACTGAAGTAATGTTGACTCCCCGTGATCTCATGCTCCGCAGTGTAAAACCACTGGTAAAAACCATCTACCCAATAGCTAACATGTATATTCTGCAAAAATTGAAACTTAACAAAATAACCCCAAACAACTCAGACAGGTGTCAGGACAATTTGCTAAAACACTTAGCAAATAACGAGCAAAGTAAATTTAGATAAACCTGGCAAGCCAGCAGGCCTCTACTCTACGGAGTCAAAGCAAGCTCAACGTTAAATGTAAAACGGCTTCATACTTGTGCACATGAACCACAGAACAGTTGCAGTTTTTTAATTCTTTTTTCTTAAAGCAAGTAGAGAGTTGAAAGCTGAAGTTATTGGTCATTATTGTCATCATCTGCCTGGAAATGTATAAAAGTTTTTTTTGACCTTGAAATAATAGTTTTAAAAAAGATAGAATAGAATATTATCCAGCTAGTGCTAATGATCAAACTAACAATTTTAACAGCTAATAACACCATTAATTAGGGTCAAATTTTGCCCCACATTACTCTTAGCGCTGAAATGGCAACTAAGATTCACTGAGCACTTCCACAGATTTTTCTGGAACTCCTTATGTCAAATAGAGCTGTGTATATCACGCACAGGGCTTAAATCACACCTTTAACCTGTAAAGCACTATGACCAGTTTGGATGTATACTGTCTTTTTTACACTTCTGTTTTACATTCTAAAGTTTAGTTATAGTATAGATAAAAGGGGGAAGGGGAGAAAGCCGCAACCTCCGGCTCTTCAGAATATACAAATGGACACTAAATTGTAATGCTGAAGTACACTATTTCACATAGACACAGGGTTGCAGCATGCTTACGACATTTCAGTTACCTGTTGAACACACTTGGAGTTGGACTGTGATCTCGGTCCCTTTCCCTGTCTCTGGTACGTTCTCGGTCTCTGTCTCTGTCTCGGTCCCGGTCCCGATCTCGAGATCGCTCTCTCTCACGTTCCCTATCCTTCTCTCTTCGTGAATAGTAATCCCACTGCTTGCTGGTGTCCAGAAGACTAGACCACGAAGGAGCGGAACCTGCAAGGTGCGGAAAGGTGACTAAAGAAAAAGACGTGGGTATTAGAAAGAACAAAATCAGATACCATATGAAAACTGCAATACTACTTATGCATGAACACACAGGCGTTTGTCAGCCTCCTCCAATGACATTTTTCAGTCTTCCCCTTTCACGTAAAAGTTAATTCTGAGCAAACTCTGCATTTTTTCCATGATGCTAATAAAGGCCTCTGGCACTCATTTAAATACTTGTTATGAAGATATCTAGAACCAGGATACACCCCACAGACTGTCTAAATCCTCTTGGGAAAAAAAAAAAAAAAGGGAAAAAAAAGAAACAAGCCCTAACAAAACCCCCACATTGTGCAAAGATTTGCTGAAAGAATCTCATTTTATGTGGTCAAATGGCTGTGTTCTGGGGTAACAATAAAAACAAAAACAACCAGAAAACAAAACTGCCTCTGAAACTCAGTGGCTCTCCAAGTGCAGTTCAGAAAAACAAGGAAAAAGGATGCTTCCAACTTTATATTTAGATGCTACTATTTTTGTCTTGTCCTTTAAAATCATTGTATTTAAAATATAACGTTAGTTACAAAGCTCTCATTCACTGATTTATATTCTATACTGTGCTTTGACATACTTTTCTAGTTACAGCTGTAACAGCAGCTTTAGAAATAAATTCCAGAAATTCATTCTGAGGAGAAGAAATTAATGCTCCTAACTTATACTTTGTAAGATGCCATTTCTAGTGAATACTCAGCACAATCACTATTGCTGCTGATTTATAATAGATGCAGAAAATTAACTGTATTATCTTAAGGATGATACGCTTAAGAAGTTGAAGAAGTCACAACCATGTCTCACAATCTTTTTAGGTAACAGCAATGGGAAGAGAGAAGGGACATGCTTCTCCATTGCTTTCTCCCAACTCCAATGTAATAAATAACTACTAGTCTTAATGCCCCAATTGTTCTGTTCTGCCCTCCCTCTCCAGAAGTCCCGTGAATATATCCTATCAATGAAAAATAAGGGCTCTGGATTTAACTGGAAACAGCACTCTCTAGTGGACTTACAGTACAGAGGACTTCTCACTTTCTGCTTATCTGCTTTGCTAGCCAATGATAACATAGCCTTCAATAAATCGTTTGTTTTGAGTTCCACTCCATTATCTATAATATGAGAACAATATTCACTTGACTCCATGGTGTCACAAAGAGACATTAACAGCTTAATTAACATAAATATTTCACTGAACAATATAAAGTGCATTACTGATGCTGTATTTAATACTCGAGTTATAAAATCAGTGGCTTCTCCTGACAGCTACATTCAGACTGCCTTGCCTATGTCTGGGGTATGCCTGCCCCAGAAAGCTTTGGCAGAAGCTGAAGACAGCAGTCTGCCAAACATCCAAAGGAGGAATACAAAAGACCTTCTGAGCAGGCAGTGGAGCAGGAAAAAAACACATCATTGTTAAACTACATTTGCAGTGAAAAGCATTATAAGTCTTTAAAAAAGCATTTATATGAGGTTTCGCCTTTAACAAATGCTTGATACAGTTTCATTTCAGAGGTACAGACAGAATGAGGAGTTAACAGAAAAAAATATCCTAATACAATAGTATGCTGTTCATTATACTGCCAAAACCTGAAATTCTTCTAAGGAAAGCAGCCAGAAATAGCAAAAAAACAGCTGGATTTTAAAGACTGTTAATTTCCTTGACTTGCCACTATGTCAACAACATACATATGGTCCACTGGCTGCTAGAATATTCTGATCTAAAGTGTAAACTTAACTTTAAATGTATACTATAGAACAATTATGAATGGTAGCATAAACTTATGATAAATTTTGGTTACTCCCCCACATCTGCAGTAATCCTCATCTGACAGAAGTATGTCATTTTCACCCCAATAACATGAGATAAACCAGTTATTTGATACTCTGCACATTTTTAGATCTAGATTTTCACCAGTTATTGTTCGCAACACAAAAGAAGCTTACTTTCCAATATGAACTGGTGTTCAGCATTTAATGCTTAGAACAAAGTAATTTGTCACTTTTAGTATTCCTACATGGATTGTTCTAATAATTTCTATAAAAAGAAGGACAATTCTAAAGTTTAATTGATTTTTAAAACAAGAAGAGAGGGAGCTTTGAACAATCAATAGTTTTAGAGGCTTAAGTCCTGTTTTGGAGGCGCATGGTTATCACAGTATAAGGCAAACGATTTAATACAACTTCTTTGTGCCTCAAAAAATACTGACTCCCAAACTGTTTCTGTAACGCTAAATTTCTTGCATGTTCATAAGATATCATGAACATTTAGAGCACAGAACAGAGAAATGCTTGAGGAAAAAGCAAACAAGCATACAGGTTGCTTCACTGGTAGACCAAATGCAGTGCCGTATTTTGACAGCTCAATAAAATTCAAAGATCTGATGGCAAAGCAGAGTTTTGAGAAAGTGTAAAGGATTTGAGATCAAACTGAAGAAACCTCACTGAAGCAGTGGAAGAGCACAAAGACAAAATAGATATTCTTGAAGCTACAAGTTAAGAATATTATTTTACTATGCAACCTATCTAATGGACTTGCAGTGGGCAACATGCCTGACACAAGGAATAGGCACTGAGGCATGAGATTCGCAATTTGAATAGGCAGAAGAAAGGCTGGAGCCTTAATCAAGATTGGTAGTTTTTGTAACATGTTTCATATCCCCCACAACTTTGACAAAGCCATGAAATATAACCAGACTGGTAAAGAAGACAAGGGGTTGGAAATTCAGTGCTATCATCCAAAGCAACAATTAAATAAATATAGAGATTCTTAATTAAAATTATTATCTGTACCCTAGTGTGTCGCTGAGCCCTCACTTTACCTAAGTTCTGATACACACACAGCACTGATAAAATACTGGCCAGCAATCACATTGTGAGACAGGGACAGTGAGAGTAAGATGCTGGCCAGGAAAACATGTTTCACTCGGAGATGATCAGCAGCAATAAAATACCACTGAGCCTCTACAGATCCAAAAATCCCAATCACAGGCACAGCTTAGAGATAATTTGCTGCAAATATGAAAGCTTTTGCAACAGAAGGGATGCCAGATACAGTGGGAAGATGGGAGCAGGCTGTGCTCCTTGGTCTCCATAATCATAAAAAGGCAAATACAGTTTTTTAACCCTGATGAAGGAGTTCAAATTCCATGTTGGCATCATCAGGATGACAGTCATCTTCCTAATATCGGTACTGCAACAACACATACATATCAACACCTCTGAAGGTCAACATAAAATATGGAAATCTTCTTGTGTCCCTGACAGTACTTGACAGAACAGCAAATTCTAACAAGGGATATTCCAAAATGAAAAACATTCTGAATTGGAGACTGTATATTAGATGCAATGTACATACCAATAACTGTTAAGAATGCATTCCATACAATACTCTGCATGACTAGATGTTGAAGCTTCAGCAAAATAGTCACTTGGATATCTCAATTGTCTGCCTCGGCTTTACCTTTTTGCTAAAACTTCAGCAAACACAGTTCAATTATTGCTAAAAAAGTAGTCAGCATAAATGAGCTGCTTGCCCTTGTCAAGAATTCTTGAAAACATAACAAGCTTTCATGCATGCAGGCAAGCACTTGATAACTGATAAGGATCCTTTCAATGTCAACAAACAGAAACAACTCCAACTTCAAGAAATTATATGCCATTCAAAAATGTCATTTTGTGTATCTTCTCTAAAGACTTATGAAGAGATACATTATCTGAATGTTTGATCTGTGCCAAACATTATGTATCCTTAGTACTAGACAGAATTTTCCCTACCATTTCTTCTCCCAGCAGATAGGGTCCAATGGAACAAAGAACAAGGAGACAGAAAAAGTCAGATGGAAGAAAAGGCAATAGGCATGGGGCTGGACGGCAAGAGGCAGTGACTGGCAACATGTCAGGTCCTGCACTGGGTTGGGGCAATTCTCAGTATGAGTACAGACTGACTGATGAATTGATTGAGAGCAGCCCTGTAGAGAAGGATCTGGGGGTAGAGGTGGATGAAAAATTAAGTATGAACCAGCAGTTTGAGTCTGCAGCCCAGAAAGCCAATCACATCTTGGGCTCCATCAAAGAAGCATGGCCAGCAGGTCAAGGGATGTAATTTTCCCTCTCCTCACACTTGCGAGACTCCTCCTGGAGTACTGTACCCAATTCTGGGGCCCGCAGTACAAGAAAGACATGTTAGAGCAGGTCCAAAGGAAGGCCATGAAAAATCGTCATGAATCTGGCACGTCTCTCCTAGGTTCCAGTTTTCAGCCTGAAGAAGAGAAGGCTCTGAGGAGACCTTACTGTGGCCTCTCAATACACAAAAGGGGCTTATAAGAAAGATGGAGAGAGACTTTTTACAAGGGCCTGTAGTGACAGAACAAGAGGCAGTGGTTTTAAACAGAAAAAAGGTAGGTTTAGACTGGACAGAGAGAAGAAATTCTTTGCCATGAGGGTCCATATTACGGTGTATTATTTTTTAAAATCAGAGTTCTGCAAAAGCAGTGTGGAAAGATAACCAGCATTATGAGTAAGTAAGTAAGCAAAATAACAGTATTTACCAACAGCTGTTAAATTTGCAACAGCATATATTTGTTTATAATGGTAGGCAATGAGCTTTCAAAATGAATTACTGTAAGGCCCTGTTTAGTCTCTTAGCAAAAATCCTCATGAGTGTATCAAGCAATTTAATCTAGCACTAGTTAAAATTTTCAAAACCAGCACGCTTACTCACCACTGCCGTAGGAAAATGCACGAACAGAACGACCATCATAGCCAGAAGAATGTCCACTGTTGAAAAGAAAATACATGTAAAAATGCCATTTACCAAAGCTACCTAAATGAATAAATATGTACTTCTAATATTATTCCCCTGAACTCTAACCACCATACAGAATAAAACTAAATGTTTGTTATAAATGGATTTAAGTCCTCCATTTTGAGCATTACTCACTAAGGAAACTGTCTATCAACACAAATATGTATTACAGGAGCTTAAAGTCACATTCTCTCTCCTTAAAATTTTAAACAGAAATTATTTATGCCAAAGCTGCTCTTTTGTATTTTCAATGAATTTTCTATTTCAAATGTTTCTTGTATCATAAAATGTTTCTGCACAGATACTAAACTTAACCTGCAGTTGCTTCAATGTGCTTCATTCATGAGTGAAGCCAATCTCATTCTTTCTGTTAAAAAGTAGGTATGGAAGTGTATCTAAGAACAGGTGGACTTCAAATGTGTAGTTCTATAAATAAACTATTAAATTAGCTACACATTTTCTAGGCTGACTTCTTTCAGTGGTAGCCAACTCAAGTAGGTAAAAACCAGAAAGGTTAAAAAGGATGCTACATGCACAGGAGAAATTCATAAATATATAATTCTTTCATGACCTTACAGTACTTCCCACATATCTTGAGTGAATTATCTTTGCAGGGTTTAACCTAAGTGTTATTCTGTTCTTGAAGGCACTTGAACATTACGAAGTAAGTTTGGGATTAGCTTAGTTTAAAGACAAAACAACACCAATGATAATGAAAGGCCAATCCAACATCTTAATATTTAAAAGTATGAGATCTAGTTCCCAAGTTCCACAATAAGCTTGGTACTTTCACATCGTATTTCAGTAGCTATATTAATAGACCCAAGTAAATGATGCAGTAACCTCTTCTGCTTAAGAGTCAGAAGCAGCAGTCACAGCAACTGTATGAAATAACAAATTTACTTTCGTGCGCATCAAATGCATCCAGCTAGATGTTTTTCTGAATTACACAAGATGAGGATTTTGTGAGATTTACCATCATCATCCTGTAGTGTACACGTTAACAGAATTTTTCAATTTCAAAGGAACAGTCGTGTGCACCTTCCTGCAGTGAAATCCAAAGTACTGGCAAGAGGCTTGTACCATCTTCTTAAGAGAGCTTTGTGGATGATCTGGTTTTGGCCTCTAGTAAAACATAAATACTTTTAAAGGACTGTGCTGGCCAACTTTTTTTCTTCCTTTTATATATATGTGTGTGTGTGTATATATATATATAAAAAAATAAAGACATGTGCATACATATATATAAAATATCCGTATGTACATATATATAAAATACGTGTATTTTGTATATCTATATTAAAAAGGCATTAAAAAAGAACATGCTAGGCCTATTAAAGCTGAACACTTAGATCAAACACAGCAGGAATACAAATTTGTATTCTGTGGAACTCTGGCATCTCCTATAGCTTATGAGGGCTTCAATTGGTGGCTAAATTGATTATTTGCATCTATAGAAAAGGACACAGTTCACCTAAATAAGCCTTCAGCCCACTAAAGAAAACTTTAACAATCATTACCCTGACCTTGTCCTTAAGTCTTGGCATTGATACAGTATTATAACACAACTAAACTAATAAGTAGCTAAGTAACCAAGTCGAAAGAATATTGTCAGAGAGGTGAGACTAGTAACATTTCTGTAAAAATCTGGACCTGTCTCCCTGTTCCCAGATAAAATCCATAACACACTGAGTACCATAAGAGACCTTATTAACTTATTTCAATTACAGAATATTGATATATTGCTTTGTAAGACTTCAAACAGATAATTACCTTTCTATTGTGGGTATGAGGGAAGGTGGAGGACCTCCAGGTGGTGGTGGAAAGCCTGTAATAATAAATGGGAGGGGGAAACAAACAAACATATAAAAGAACTAGGCTAAGCATATAATAGCAAACAGACTCTAGAGAGTAAAACACAAAAATTTGTTTCTCACTGTGTAAATGGGTTTTATTCTGTAAGACGAGAACTTCTTTCCAGCTTAACAAAATCTCATTTTTAAATGTATATTATCAGTGTTCCAAATCAAATACCTTATCATGCTTAAAAACACAGTGATTTAGAAGCATAGGAAAATTCCTGAGTATCTAACAATACTCAGTAAACAACAATTACAACTATTTTCTGCACAGCTGAAAAAAAAAAAAAGAATGGAAAGAAAAGGAGGAAGCACACATCTAAGAAACAGGCTGATTAGATCCACTAGTCAACGGCCTGGCGTTAAAATAACTGAGCCTACATCTATATGTATGGTTTTGTATTTATGAACTTTTATCTAGCAAATTAAAAGGAAGTTGGTAAGTTGCACATCACTTAAGTTTTCATTTCTTAATCAAATGTGGAAGAAAATTTAAACAAGTTTACCTGGTGGTGGCACCGTTATTGGTATACCTAAGACAACAACAAATAATATATCAGTTATAGTAAGTTTATTATCTGTAGATCTAAAATCAGACTGAGCTATCACCACATAGATGATCAAGAAGAATGGTAGCTTACTTTCTGTGTTCTTAGATCAAAATCTCACATTAATATCAACTGTTTTCATGCAAGCCTTGTGAAATCTGGCTTTTTATTTAAGCTCCTATTCTCTAGGATCTTATTTAATTAGAGACAAAAATAATGAAAAATGACTCTGGGTCTCAAGCTTAGAATTAAATCCATAACCCTAAAATGTTTAGTATCCAGAAGGAAAGTAACATCCCTTAGAGTATATTTGCTTTATTTTATATCCCTTGGCTGGATGAAAGGAAAGACAATTGTCATCTGAACTTTAACAGCTTAGCATTGGAAACAGTGAGGTCCACATGGACAAAATATTCTAGCAACAGTAAGCATTACAGGCTTTTCAGTCAATGCTATGCCACACCGCAATTAATCATTCAGTTGCTACTTGAAGGAAAAAAATTTCTTTGGTATTCTATTTTCTTGTAAATATCTGACAGAAGAACATTCTTTAATACAAACACATTCAAAAACTCTTCTAACTTTTCTGGTTTTCAGAACTAACTTAGTTGTCATGAATCTAACTAAAAGCTATTGTTGTTAAGAACGCTGGAAACCACAGCATAAAAACTTTGAGAGAGTAACATTTGAAAGACTAAACACTCCTAATGAAAATTTCTGAAAGGAAAGGAAGACTGGGAACTCAAACTGCTGCACAGCTGAAGTATTTTCTATTAATCCTTACTGGTTATTTGTCCACCTTAATAAGAGTCTTCATGAGTCTACAACATAGAAAATACATAAATATCTCACCAGAAATGTTAAGAATGTAAGCTAGAAAAATATCAGTTCTCCCTGATTCATTTATTAGCTCTATCTTATGCTTAAAAAAAGCCCAAACCCAATCAATTGCTGCACTAAACCCAGTACATACTTAGCACTGAACATGGCTCTCAGCCCTATGCACAGAATTGCCTGGAAAGCCATCAGCTAATACTCTTTACAAAAAGGAAGAAATTCAGACATTAATGTATTCATCAGAATTTTGTCTTGTGCAGAAATACAACCTAAAATCTCATCAAAAGCTTAAAAGCCAAATGAAAAAAATCACTTGAGAGCCATTCAAACAAAACTGTAATAGAATAATACAATTTAATATACAGAGACCAAATGTCCAAATAATTTTAATGGTTAAAGCAGGGTTATTACACTAAAAAACTTCCAACCAAATCACAGGCATTTTCTCCTCAAAAACCTTTAAAAACATTTAAAAAATTGTGATTAATGATTGCGTAAGACAGCAGCTAATTTGCCTAACAGTATCATAATGGAAGACACATTCTTCTACATTCCAAGTTAGCAAGTACCACTAAAAATATCTAAACTAAAAAACCTGAAAACTAAAGCTTATTCCTCACCTTCTTCACTAACAAACGTGACACAAAACAAGAAACAAAAAGAATTTGTAAACTTCTGTTAACAGAAAATTGAGAATCTCTTAACTCTTCACTCCTTTGCCTTTTACTAACAGTGCATAAAAATATACTTGAAATGTCATCATGTCATCAGCCAATTACTTCTAAGAACAAGAGCTCTAAAATACTGAATCATTTTTTCCATGTAGGGATTTAACCTAAGTACCATTGCAAGAAGATGACTTAGTGCAGATCATGTCACATGTCACATCCCTACAACACATACTGCCACAAAGAGATGCACCTGGCCTCAACCTTAATATTCAGGCTCATATGTGAAAAGCAAAACAAACAGCATGCATGCAGCATTTTACCTAACATGCTCAAACTTGCATTCACAACATTGTATGTCACCCTACTATCTCAAGGCTGGTTACTTATAGAAAACCAAGCAGGTTTTACTAAAGGAAAGCAATGCTGCATGTGTTCCTTTGCTGAGTAAGGAATCGAACATGATAATGCTGCCGTATCTTAACATACTGCAAATCAGCTGAAATGTGTAGCAGTTCACGGCATTGTACCTTAACTTGGTGTAAAAACTTCTTTTGCCACAGGCTCACCTAAGTCAAATTCCCTCTCCTTTATCACAAGGTAAAAAGTACACATTTAAGACTGCTGGGCCTGAACAGATGCACTGCTACTTGCTAAGCCCTGGTATCTGCCTAGGCAGTCAAAATTCCCAAAGTTATGCAACAGAAGTTCAATATTTCAGAGTATTTTTTTAAGTATCACAAATACATCTCACATTTTAACTACACCCTTAAACCAAAACACATAAAACATCTTTTAAAGCCTGTTTTTAAAGCATCCACGTTATTCTTCAGATTTAAATTACTCCAACATAGCAATAAACCAAGCAAACAAAAAACAACACATTTTTTTTCCACAGCCAGTGTTCTCCTAGGAGTGAGAGTTTTCTGCACTTGGCCCTTTGAATCATTCTAGCACTCGTTCCTTAAAAAAGATCTGAATCACAAGAGTGAATGAACTCAGAACAGGAGATCTAACTTCAAAGCAAGATCCTTTTTCAAAGGCACTTTTGGAGGATGTTTTATATTTGGAATACTTAAATTTTCTGGCAAGTAGTCCCACTTTAATATTGGGTAAGAGTAGCTTTTTTCCTCCTCCTCCACTGAACCTAGGAGGGATGGCAGATTCTATTTTAGAAACAGCTTTGAAGATAAAGAGCTGGCAACAGCACAATTAAAACACAGGCCTGAAGAAACCAAATCCACAGCTCTTAATCGTTATTTTCAAATCTGCTCAAAGCACGGAAGGATGTTGAAGGAGACCTTCTGAACAAGTGTATGTCATAAACCTGTCTGTAAACCACAAGACTAAAGCCAAACCTGCTTGGTAAACTTGTAACACATGCGAATTTCTTTCACTTTTAAAAGCTCAACAGGTGAGGGGTTTCAGAACAGTCTAGTACACTTACATGACATCCCTGCATTAAATGTGTCTGGGGTGTCTGTGCTCATGCTTTTAATAATATACAACTTAGATCACCTTTTCTGTATCATGATTAAAATAATTACTTTCTAAAAACTTAAAATGCATTTCCTATATTATTCCATTGGAAAGATTTTAATGCAGCTTAAAACCCATAGTCTGCATTAGCATCACATTCCTCTCCACCTTTCCTGTAGGAAGGAAACATCACAAAATTGCCAGAGCAGGGGCATATTCTGTCTTCAGCACCCCATTTTTTGTATTTATGCATAAAAACTTGGAAAAGGCACAGATTTTTTTAATCTTTAAATCTCATCTTCTGTTTTCTAGGTTGCACTGTTTTGTGTATGGCAATCACTGATGAAATCCAGAACTTGCCAGGCAGCAGGAGTTAATGGATTTAAAATCAGCAGCAGCAACTGAAGAAAGCAACCTCTTCTATGGGGATTTAAGCCCTGTAAAGCCCCACGCAAAGCTGCTGCACAGAAATCATAATGTTACTTCCTTGCTTATATGTAAAAGAATTAACAGAAACTTTTAAAAGATTCCCAATGTGAACAGAATAGCAAAGAAACTGCTCAATGTGATTTTGGAACAAGTCAAGCAAAAGAATGCAAGGAACAAATGGAGAAAATAAGGAACAGGGCTCCACCTTAAATCAGTCTCTTCTACAAACAAATCCTTCACTTTTCTACTCAAATACCCCCCTAAGTTTCTTCACCTATTTTCATTTCTCAGTGATCGTTCTTCTTAGCTCCCTGCAAAGTCCTTCGAACTTAAGTCCTTAAAATGACACTGCTCAGGTAGCTGCACTATTTCTGCAAATGCCAATGACAGTCCTCCCAGTAAATTTCTGTAAATACCAAGTTGTGGCAAATATTCAGCATCAGTAAATCTCAAACCAGATTTAACAATGAAAACAGGTCTCAGAGCTTTGATTCCTCTAAGATTCACAGACACAGGGTGCTGGATAAAACATCAGGTGCTAATAAAACCTCTGACTGAAAGAAATGATAGCACACAAATGCAATTCGTATCAGACTTTCAGGAACTCATACATACTGAGAGGGGAAAGGGACATTAAAGTTTCTGTTGCTGCTTTGACCTCAGACACCAGACAACCCAACTTACGACACAAATTCACGGCATGCCATACTTTCAGTTCAAAAGTTTATAGAATGATTTAACATGCATCTCTCAACAGCATTAACAGTGGTTGAATTACAGACAACAGCTTCTCACTTCAAACGTTTTCAAGGACAAAAGATCCAACATTTAATCTTTATGTAATTATTTACTACCTGGGACTATGCTTTCTGGGAAAGTAAAGACAAAAGTTTCTATTTCTGCCTGGCAGACATATTTAAGAAAAGAGAAAAAAAACCCACAAAATTCTGAAATTTTGCACATATACCCAGCCATACGTGCATGGAAGGCACTGTCTTTAATTCATTATCTATCATCAAGAATGTGATGTTTATGAATCTCATTTTTCACATCCGATGTAGTACAGGATATTTACCTGGTGGGGGAATCAGAGGTGGAGCAGTACTAACAGTTGGAGGGGGTGGGAGGAAAGGGGGTGGTGGAAGGTGGGTAGGTGGAGCTCCTGGAGGGAAAAATGGAGGTGGCTTGGTAAAATTGTCTACTTCAGGATTAGATCGTTCTGAAAGAACCTGTAAAATATCAAACTATAGTTACAAATGCTATGTCAAAAAGGGTAGAAGATAGGTTTCCTCTCTTTCCAGTTACTACAACAGGGAAGTGTTACTTATGCACTTAAAGAGCCATATTCAGATGGTTTAAATTCTATCTGCATCTATACATTCGGTGTCCCATACTCGCCAAGTACCTCTCAGGCCCCAAGAGCAGCCAATAGGGAACAACAAATGTAAGATTTGAGAAGGAATATAAGCCATCTGAATATGGTCCAATACTCCATCTTAAATTCATGTAGAAAGAAATATTTTAAAAATCAACATGAAAAGCATGAAAAATAACCCTCAAGACTTTAAATTACTTGAAACACTGTGAGATCAGCTGAAAAACACACAGCAATGTTTCCAACATAAGCACTATTATCTGTTATTATTTTCACTGTTTAACCTTAACCTAAGTTCGCATGGAAATGCAGCTAGGGCACCAAGCAGCCTTGATTCGCCTCCACAGCTAAGTCAGGAGAGAAAAAGTGTATTCCATCTTAACGCATTTAGTTGTTTTCTTAAGATGATCCAAGCCAATAAAGACTAAAATTATGAAGACAATCTTAAAATTTATGGTAAAATAATACAATATTTTTTTTAAAGTACTATCTGCTACTTATTCCTTCGCAACTTATTTTCAGAAGGCTTTCACTTTCAGCTTTGTGTCTGTCAGGAAGAGGAGAAATGGACAGTCAGTTTAGATATTTATCTTTGTTACTTAGTAAACAAAACTCTATCCATGCAGAACTAGCAGAGCCAATGCTGTCTCCTAGATTGTAAGTCTGCAATACTGCTCATTTTCTTCCAGTAAGATGTATATTTCATATTAATAGATTTTAATTGGCTGCCACAACTTTGTTCCTGAACTTAAAGCCACTTGTGTATTACTCATTCATACACACCAAAATGTTTTACTCAGAAGCTACGGGGAAAGCAAAAGTATCTCTTGGTCAAAGACTGTGTGCAAATCTGCAGTATAAAACCTGTATGTTGCTGTTTTCATTAGCACGCCGTCGTCCTTCCACCCTGCTGATAGTGATGGTCTGTCCAATCACATCTATTGTTCCAGGTAATCGCCTGCAACACAGGACAAACCAGAATCAACAGGCAGAATTAGAAAAGGAAAATAAAAGAGAGACAAGAAAGTCTTAATTAAGGAGTTTTCCTCATTCTAAATGCCAAAAGTTCCTTCTCCTGTATAAAACAGAAAATATTGTTTCCAAAGAACATTAAATAAACATAAGCCAATCCTACCATACATACTAATTGTATTGCAGCACGTATTGAACAAAATCAGCCACCATCTCTCTTATCTTGAAATGCAGTCTTAGTATCAACCAGAAAGTATATAAAACTAGAAACATTGACTCATAAACCTTGCATGAAACTTGAAGGAATCTTAGACCAGCCATTTATAGTTCTGTTCCTCAGTTTTCCAAATGCAAAAGGTCTCTCTCAAGCACCTCTAAAACATTTGCATAGCTAAGCACTATGTTCACCTTCCTTAAAGAAACCAGCACAAGACCCACCTCAGTCTCCCTTGCAACCCAATCAAGCAACAGAACATAGTGTAAACTAAGAACATGCACCTTAGAAATGTTAGTTATGGATTTTTAGAGGAAGATGACAAGAACAGCGACAGCATATACACATTCTTTCCATCCTAGTTTCTGCCAATCATTTAAGGACTTTTCATGCAACTGAGTTTAATTGCTAAACTTTAATAGATTAACATCCATTTAGACAATCTCATTTGAACACACTTTTACTTTTGATCTCCAGTGATGTGATCTGTGTAAGCTATTTTTTTTTACATGACAATTGTATTTGGTGCCCTACAGTCTTGTTAAAAAGCCCCACAAAACCACAACTCCTTGTTCTCTGGCAGTGTAGCCAGAGAACATAACACCTCTGCTGTATCTCTTTCTAGTTGTCTCTTTCCCAAGCGGAACTAGTCCACATCTCTCCTCATATAAAAGAACTCTATAACTTTCACTATTTAGTTAATCTTTTTATGGACCTTTCCTACCTCTGCTTTATCTTTTTTTGTCTGAGATAAACAGAACTACAGATAATACTCAGCTCTCAATGCATAACAGCTTTATGAACTACCATAATGAGCTTTCCCAGTTTGCTCCCACTGCTAATGATGACTACAATTCCATTTTCTTATTTTGTCTAACACTGGAAATTGAACTAACATGTTTGGAAACAGCAACAATAATTCCAAGATCTATTTCTCAATGGGCATGATTCTGAATGATTAATTTGAGGTGCATCTTATTTAAGAAAATGCCATCTAGGATTTAAATTTTCAGTGATTCCAGTTCATTATAAACAACTTATTCCAATCCACATTGGAGTCAATGTGTGAATTTTAAGTGCAGATTTATCTCACTTCAGTTTCCAAACCAGTCAATTTATTAAGTTTATGACTATTAGGTTAAGTTTTTCCTACTATGAACTTCTTGAATCCCATGTATATATTCACGCAGTGTGTTAAGAGGGGTACCTTTAAACCCCCAAATCTTCTGTTGTGTCCACACAGGTGTCAACTGCAACTTCTTATTTTTAATTTTTCAAAGTAGATTAAAAATGCAACACTGGGGGTAAAGACACAATGGCATTCCACTGGATACAAACACTAACATTTAAAGGATGATCAGTCTCTTAAAACCTTCAACAGAATCATAGAATAGTTAGGGTTGGAAAGGACCTTAAGGTCACCTAGTTCCAACCCCCCTGCCATAGGCAGGGACACCTCACACTAAACCATGCCACCCAAGGCTCTGTCCAACCTGACCTTGAACACTCCCAGGGATGGAACATTCACAACCTCCCTGGGCAACCCATTCCACTGCCTCACCACCCTCACAGTAAAGAACTTCCTCCTTATATCCAATCTAAACTTCCCCTGTTTAAGTTCTAACCCATTACCCCTTATCCTATCACTGCGGTCCCTAATGAAGAATCCCTCTCCAGCATCCCTACAGGCCCCCTTCAGATACTGGAAGGCTGCTACGGGGTCTTCACACAGCCTTCTCTTCTCCAGGCTGAACAGCTCCAACTTCCTCAGCCTGCCTTCACACGGGAGGTGCTCCGGTCCCCTGGTCATCCTCGCGGCCCTCCTCAGGACTTGTTCCAACAGTTCCATGTCCTTTTGATGTTGAGGACACCAGAACTGCACACAATACTCCAGGTGAGGTCTCACAAGAGCAGAGTAGAGGGGCAGGATCACCTCCTTCGACCTGCTGGTCACGCTCCTTTTAATGCAGCCCAGGACACGGTTGGCCTTCTGGGCTGCAAGCACACACTGCTGGCTCATGTTCATTTTCTCATCGACCAGCATCCCCAAGGCCTTCTCGGCAAGGCTGCTCTGAATCTCTTCTCTGTCCAACCTGTAGCTGTGCCTGGGATTGCTCTGACCCAGGTGTAGGACCTCGCACTTGGTCATGGTTAAACTCCATAAGGTTGGCATCAGCCCACCTCACAAGCATGTCGAGGTCCCTCTGGATGGCATTCCTTCCCTCCAGCGTATCAACCGAACCACACAGCTTGGTGTCATCAGCAAACTTGCTGAGGGCGCACTCAATCCCACTGTCCATGTCACTGACAAAGATGTTGAACAAGACCGGTCCCAACACCGATCCCTGAGGGACACCACTCGTTACTGGTCTCCAGCGGGACATTGAGCCATTGACCACAACTCTGCGTGTGGCCATCCAGCCAGTATCACAGTCCTTGCATATGATAGATTACTTTCTTCTACAGCAAGAAGTCCCTCCTCAGGTGACCCACTGCTTGGCTTGCTCCACTGTTTTTCAGGGTTTCCACATGCAGGTGATATACTTCAAATTAAAACTCTTCCTCTCTTGCACTGTCTGCATACTGCCAGCAACTCTTGGAATCAGCACTGAAAACACAAGCAGTGCAAGAGTACTTGGCGTAAAAGTAAAATGTGCATCAACCAAACTATGGTGAGACCAATTCTGGCTTGGGAAGCAGCCCAAATACAAGACTGCATTATCAAAGGAAGCAAATCTAGACTACCAGTTGGTTCCTGGACATCAAGTTTGCTGAAATAAACAGAGCTTTCACTTCATTTTTCTGGAGTCTTAAGAGTACACCTATGCTCACTCATTCTCACTGAGCTGGTGCTTTATGATTATTTTTTAATAATGTTTTACAGTGGTATGTCCTTTGTTCTTCCCAACAGCTGCCAAGAGATTTAATTTTTGTAAAGGTGGATGCGTTCAGGAATTTGCCTTCATACCGTGAACTTGACAAATTCTCTATTTCCAAGACTGCAGTAATGATTTCATTAAGTACTCCACTAAAAGAGCTTCAAATTGAACAAGAAAAAGCTTATGTTCAGTTGCAGATGGAGTAGCAGATGACACCACTGTCAAAACCAAACTTCACAAAGGCAAGAGGGGCATGTGAAGTGTCCAGAGTTTAACAGTTCAGCAGTTTTGTAAAAGGGGCAAATCCAAAGCCTTGGATCTTGATTAAGTCATAGCAAGTTGGCACATGGGAAATTTCAAAGAGTCCCCAGCCATTATCGAGCTTAGTGATATTAAGCAGGCATTACTAGGTTTCTGCCTCAGTGCTGTACGCAAAGAAAAGAATGGGCTTGGTTTCTCCCTTACACGATCAGGGCACCTGGGATACATATGTATTCCCAATGGATACAACCACACATAAAAAGGCAATCCACGCGTGTGGGATGCACATGAACCCACAGCAGAGTTCATACAAAGTGTAGCTTGAAAGGAACATTCCAGCAGCTCAGTGAGTGATTTCACTCTAATTAGAGAATAGTTATTTATGAGCCATTTGCACAATGAGTACCACCCTCCCTGGAGATTTAAGTCATATCTCAATCTCATCTGGTAAACTGAGTTTATTTAGGCTCTACAGAGCAAAAAGAAAAAGGGGAAAAAGGAAGGAAAAAGAAAAACCAGACAAACCCAATTATTTTCCAAATTCATAGATTCAGAAATTACTTACCCACACAAGTAATAGAAATAATTAACTGCTTTTTGGAAAGCCACCCCCCCTCCAACACTTTCCAGAATTCAGAAACAGTCTAACTACTGGATGCCACATTTTTCACTAGATTTATAGGCTAGTCTACAAATTACAGAATTACAGTATACTTTAAAACCTGTATTTAATATGTTATTGTGCTCCTTCTTATTTAATGTGTTTCATGCTTTATTTTCCTCCTCTTGAGGACAGCCTCAACTTTGCTGAACTCACCACACTGACTGATCTAATTAAGAAAGGAACAAATTTAATACAGAAATCATTCATACAGGAAATAGATACATTGCAAAATAATATCCGAGTTTTCATCATTTAGTCTCACAAGGCTACGTCATGAAACAAGAGGAACTTATCTTTTTTTCACAGTAAGGACATATCACACATCCACTTGCTATAAAAATTCTGTTTACAGAAAGGCCCAAGCACAGAGAAAGCTAAATAGCCCATCACATTGACAGACTTGTTTCTCTGAAAGCAAAATTATTTAAATGTAATGTACTCTTTAGTAGTAACAGAAAAACCATAAATGGAGGTTAAAAACCTATCAGCTTCTGACTGCACAAAGCTGGTTTCTTCCTAGCTATTCTAGATATTACTGGAATAAGAAAACATCAGGCATTGCATCCAGCTTGTAAAAGAAACTTCTGCTTATTTCTCTGCTATATAAGAAATACACTCTTTCAGTGCTTGAAAAATTACATAAGGAAAAGCACTGTTCTAAAAGCAAGCAATAAGATATCACCATGACCTGCCTCGGTAGGCCAGGTTTGAAGTACGTCAAATCCTCTTCACATTCTAGAAAGCACTATACCCAAAAGCAATTTGTTCAGGTTTTTACCTTAACTATGCCTATGCACACATGAGTCTTAACTACCTCTAGAGAGAAAAAATTGTATTATATACGATATTGTTTGCATATGATGTGCATTTACGAAACTATTTCCATTACATTCTAACTCCTCCTTCAGGGTTATACTATCCTTTATGCTATTCAACAGCCTTAAGATATTCGGGTGTCATTTCTAAACAGCTAATAGCTCAGCAATGATTAAGATAGTAATCGTTTACAAGTTTAAGCAAAATTTCTCAGACATTGTATATTGTATGAACAAGCACTGAATTTTTTCTTTGAACTTAGCATTTAGGATGCAACTGTAGTGAGCAGCAACTTTCATTTGCTGGTGAGCAATAATTCTGTTTCTATTATGTAAACTACAACTTCCCTACTGGTAATGAGTAACATTCTGGCTAGATCTCAGTAACTTCTTTTTTTTTTCCTTTGAGAATTTCAGTTGCAATCATATGCAAACACCTGCTGTACTCAAACTAAAAAATGTAAGACCAGTAGGCACAAGAGTATTTTAATGCTTGTTTGCAAACAAATGGAAAAAAAGCAAATCCCACTTTCTGTCCTCAGACGTCCCGTTAAAGAGAAATATGTGCTGTGATATCTATGTGTAAAATCATCCATGAAGCAAAGTTACAGCCCTGACTACTAAATGGGGAATTAAAATGTCAAATGAGGACCATGCCCTGATTTTCCCTGTCCCAGTGTCCAGCCTACCCGACTCCCCCCCCCAAACCTCCCCTGCCCTTAATTCCAGATATTTGTCCCTCCTATATTGTTTCTGACACTTTCTGATTCCTGAGCTGGCTTTTCTGGAGGCAGTGCTTGCGTGTGACTGAGAAGACATACTGCTTCTGGTGAGATAAAACTGCCTAGGTCTTTCTTTTCTCAGGTCTCTATCTTTTCTGCTCTTTGAGTTTCATTTCTTCTCATGCCCAGCTCCTTGCCAATCCCCACCCCAGTTGCATTAATTCCCCTTTCACCACATGAGCTACTGCCAGAAACTGACAGAAGTTTTACTGATACATAAAAAATGCTTCCAGCAATTTCACAAAAAAGCTATTGCACATGCCTCATGGCATAAAGGCAATTATTTTTCATTAGCAAATAGCTGTTTTTTCAAAAAAATTCTACCTAGAATTAACTCTTTAATTAAAGTCCAATCCCATAAAACACTGCTTAGTTATAAATAAACTGGCAACACAGGGTTTTATATACAGAAAATACCAGCTGCATTCTGAAGAAGCCATTCAGGTATACATAACCCATACAGTTAAAGCATATTCATTCACTAAGCTACTCTCACTTTTGAGCATACAATTTTCTTTCAAAATCTATTCTGACCACTCAGTAGAAACATCTTTTTAATTTTTAGCAACTGTATCCAAAGGAGCAGATATTAAATAGGGAAAGAAGCCAGTTTTATCACTGTAACAACTTACAGTATTCACACTAAATGTATATAAACCAACCTATTCTAACCACTGGAATGCAAAAGTGATACAACTGGAAATGTACTTTTTTTTCCTCTTTACCAGCAGACCAACTTCACTTACTGGACTCACATTCTTAAAGATACAAGGTTTCCCAACCTTTCCTAAGGTAAACTTAGTTCCTGGAAAAAACAAGCATGTCTTAAGTTTCTCAGGAAAGCTCTGATTAAAAACAACCAATATACTAACATTAAATCTTTAAAAATCAGAAAGTTGGGTACTTACACCTGGGATTGCATATTTCAGGCAGAAAAAAAATCACATAAAATTATGGCATAAAGACATCTATGGTAGATTATCCCATCTAGAGCATACAACAAAGACTTCATTTATGAAGCCTAAAATATGCACATGTATGACCGTATTTTATTATGTTTTCTCACAACAAATGCAAATTTCACAGAATCAAAAAATCTATGCAATGCATTTTTTTCTACAACTACATTTTAATACCCTGGTCATTAACTACTTTCTAAAGTACTTCTGAGATTCTTTGTCCACCGATGAGATGTATGAAAAGTTGAAATCCTGTAACAAAACCTGTACTAGATACACATTTACAATCGTTATTCTGTGAATAGTACATTCAATTTTTAGACCTCTGTTATGAGAAGCAATTCAGAAAAGAAACATAAAAAAATAATTACAAGGTTGTTATTTGTTTGGAAGGTTTTTGCTAGGAAACAAAGCACTAAAATCTACTAAAACCAAAGCAGTATAACCTGATATTTCTGAGAGGAAATTAGGCTACCAGGAAGAATATACTAGAAGTGAAAGAAAAATACAGGCAAGAGTATCAAGCAAGATTTATTTCTTCCACTCAAGAAAAACACATTTGGGTGTTGAACTGACTCTCAAAGAATGGAATGACTGAACTTGAGTGCCTCTGAATTAGTCAATGTACTAAAGACTAAAGATAAGTCACAGATGCTAATCTTTAACTGCTGATGATGAGAGGATACACCCTGCTCTACTTCTCTTGCCATTACTTATATTACCATGGCTTTTAATTTGCACAAAACCAAAACTCCTAAATAGAATCACTTGATAACTAAAGTAAAGCAGAAGCAGGGATTCACCCTAAGCAAAGCGCCAGGTAGCAAACCGCAGTAGCTTAGATATAAAGGCCGGAACTTACTAAAGCCTGGGGCTGGAAGAGTGAGGGGAAGAAGTTTTAGTAAGGACTAATTCCTCATATTTTAGAGAAAGTACAAAAGATATTCAAGTAAGGAGAGCTAAAGATACCCTGAAGTAAAGAGACTGGGTTCCAGGAATCCTTCTTTTGCTGAAGTCATAGCTATATGATTCCAACTTGACTGAAAAGGTGTGTTAGCTAATAACCAGAAAGATACAAGCTAGAAACATTTTGTTGGCTAATCTAATTCTACACAGAATACACCTGTATTTTCATAGCTGCCTTGTTATTTGGTCCTGATGGTTTTTCTCCTCTTTTGTTCTTCTTTCTGTTTCCCAAATAGCCAAGAATAGCACAACATTCAAGTGTAATGGTGACTAAAGGCTAGAAGTGTTTAGAACCACTCTTCCCCTGAGTTCTACCTGCCACAGAAACATATTTTCCTTTCTTTCTACAAAAATCATGGACTTCAAATACATATATATAAAAAGTTTTCTGGTCTAGAGTTATAACTAACTGACCTGTTTGTTGGAATTCCTGATTTGAATAAAGCAGGAGGAGATGTGAAATCGGGTTTGGTCGACTGCACTGCCAACTCTTTCTCCAAATTTCCAGTTCTGCCCTGCTGTACCTTCAAAATAATGTTTTGCCATTAGTTTAGCCTCAGAAGTGCAGCAGCCCCAACACTCAACATAGCACACAGCCAACACAGAAAGTCCTTTAATCAAGTTTTTTAAAAACTGTCACCTTTGTATAGCTAGCAAATTATAAAATGCAAAACTTAACTACTGTGTTTAGTATCTATAAAAAAGCAATATTGCAGAGAAGAAATTATTACATAAGATTAGACAGTTTTAATATTTATTTTCCAAGTGTTTGATTTGGACATGAACTGACCACACTGATTTTCTTGTAGAATTTCCTATATGAACAACATAGCATCTTTATTTTTAAAAGAAGCAAACTTATTTAAAAAGCCCCAAACCTCATAATCGTTAACACAGGTTAGTAAGTGCCACCCAACAACAAACCATAAGCCAAGAAACTGAGTGGATTCTCCACCTGCCTTATTGACCATGAGATCTAGAAACCACTTAACTTCTGAGTCATAGCAGGAAGTCACCTCATACTCCTGGTTACGCAAACCTTAAAAGATTTTTCATTAGTTCAGACTGAACACTTCAAAAACATGCTGCTATTTCTGAAGTACTGCAAAATTCCAGAGACATGTTATTGAAACTATGTAAGACCTTTGGTGAGAGTGCTTCAAGTATTACATGAAAGAAAAGCCTACGTGGGTTAGGATTAAAGAAAAACCTGTCCTGATTCAGATTCTGAAGACGCTCCCACTGTAACAACCACATAGCTACCTCACTCTACATAGCTAGTTCACTCATGGTATAATACAACATATGCTGTGATCTCACAGCTTCTTGTAGGCAAGTGAACTACTAAGCTTTGCAGAATCTCACTTCCAAACACAGGCACCTCATTCCCTAACCCACAAAAATATATAGATAGTACCTGTTGAAAAATGAACTAAATTTTAGTATCCAGAACTACATTAAATAAAAACCAACCAAACACACCAAAACTGAGTATGTTTGGTTAAGTAGTTATCTGAAATATTTGTGAGATTTCTATTATTTAATAAGTAACTGGAAAATGCATGAGACAGTCTTGTAGTTACAGAAGATTAATCCAAATATACCATGTAAATTTCATGAGACATAGTATTTCGAAAGTGGAAAAAAGTTAACAAAATTATTTAACAGTTATATATAAACTTCTTGTAAAACACATGACAACTCTTACTTCAGACTGTTAAAACACAATTACTATCTGCACAGATTGATCACTGGACCTCCAGAGAGTCAGTATTGAGCTAGAAATACGGGAAGCTTTTGTTCGGAATACTTATCCTTCTGTCAGGACTACAGTTCAGCAATGTCTGAGTGTAGTGAGCTGCAAATCATTAACTTCTACTGCCCACAATAAGGTAACACTATTATCATGATAACTGAGTAAGGCAAAAAGCCCCAGGGAGCTTCTTTACCTGTTCTTTCTAAGATAAAGTCAAAATGATTGGATACCCTCAAGTAGCACATGAGGGGAAACAAAAATACCTGTCTGCAATAGACACTTCTGTCACAGAAGTATACAGAAGAAAGCAACAAACAGTTTCAGGTCAGTTTAATGACTGTTCAAGAACAAAACTGACCTATGGAAAATAGGTAAAATATAACCTTTGTATTTTAACTTTAGCATCAAATGAAACAGTAAATTAGAAAATGAGAAGTTGAAAAAAAATATTCAATTCTTAAGATAAATCCAATCGTACAGATCTGTTCTCTGTAAATCAGCATTTCTGAATGTAAAAAATATTATATATAATTGGATTTATTGCTGTCTAATCCCAAAAGGACAACAGAAAAATACAGAAGATTGATTTTCATATCTCAGTCGCCAAGGATAAGTTTCACAAAACACAGCAAGAGCTAGAAGGCCACATAAAAAATAAACATGCCATAATCTACAAAAGCTTCCCCAGCACATCTGCACAGATTCTCTAATCTGCACATACAAATGCACTACAATAAAAATAAACCATCACATAAAGAAAAATTAGTTTCTCTGGGAAATTTGTTAATTCACCAGGTTACTAACTCACATACTTGCAGAACGGTGACAAACAAAGAACATTTTTTAATCAACATTTTATGACATATGCAGAAAGTCACTGGTCTAAGATGAGAGTCTGAAATAATGGCTATGTCCATTTCAGTTGTTCTTCTACCAGTCTGCGGTGGCATGGGAAGCAATACCCAACAAAAATGAGAGGAACCGACAAAAGTTTACTAAAATTCACCTTAAAAAGATGGTATCTGCCATCGAGAATCTCTGCACTTGGTCTTACTTCCATAGCATTGTCTTCAGCCTAAGTTAAATAACACATTGCCCATTAAGAGACCGTACAACTCTAAAGTCATGGGCCACAATCTGAATAATGGTACAGACGCAATCTAGCTGTAGCTAGTCTGTCACACTATCCACACAAATTGCCAGTGAAGCAACAGAGGAACACACAGGAACACTCTAGGCTCAAGACAGGGAGTCAGCTGCAAACTCTAACACACACACCAAACTGGGCTGAACAAGCTTTTGACACACAAGCAGCTTTACAGGGAAAAAAAGCATCTAGAATATGGCAAAAGTTGTACTAATTACCGTAATTTTATTTGTGGATGAGGTAACTGGTAAAATTTCAAGACCCATTCGTATTCTTTTTTGTTTTTCACAGTAAGCTTTCCAGGTATCTTCATTGAATCCATAGTTGAAATAATCAGAGAGATCAGCCCCTTTAAATAGAAAAGCATAGGTTTTTTACGACATCACAAAGTTCTTCTTTTCTTCACTGAGCATACATACACCTTTATTTGTAACATCAAAACAGATTAGGTATTGAGCTGAAAAAATACCACTGAAATGTAGGATATAGTCTTGCATCAGTAAACATAGAGTGTTCATGCCTGAGACTATAAAAACATCAGAATTTAGTCAGCAGTAAAGGGCTTAGCATCATGTCTCAGGAATCAAAAGCAGATTCTTACAGAATATCACAGGATATTATAATCCCTGTATCTTTACAACATGATATATTTAAGATCTAAAGGTTTACTGTATGTTCAGTGAAGAACCACTCGCTTTTGCTTGCTCTCTATTCAACTCCTCGTGTTGTTTTGACTCCAAGTTTCATATAATGCCACAAAGTATTTAAAAGAATATGTAAAAGAGAGACCAGACATAACTCAAATGCACAGAATGTATTTCAAATAGCTAACAGACCAAATACCAGAATATTATCATAGGCTTCATTTTCCATTTTGTAGACACTATTTGCATGGCCAAAGCAATATACAAACACTAGAGAAACCTATGTACAACAGCAAGATGCACTGCCACTAAAAAAGCAGGTATTAGACACGTCTGGCTAAATCACTTGAGCCAGACAATACACACAGGAAATTTACGGAAAGCCCATCTGGTACCTGCTGCTTCTTTAAAGCCTAGGGATGTCACTCTATGACAAGCAGCTACTTTTCATCATTCTTCATGCTCAAACCTGCTAGAACTATTTTCTGTTGTGCTTTATATTCTGTCCTATGACACAGACCAATGCTAGTAATATCCAGAGAAAGACAGATTTCCAAGGACAGTTCAGGATATACATGGATTAAAAATACATAAATAAATAAATAAATAAGGGCATGCTCTACAGTCTATTTCTGCTGACATGTGCAGGATGTATACTAAGAAACATGGCATGCCCACACACTCTGTAGCACAGCACAAAGGTAACAAGTAACTTAAATGCTTTTTCCAAATAACATTTTACAGTATCGTCTACCTGTATATACGTAACATCTACATGCAGTAAATGCGAACTATTGTTAAAATAACCTACTGAATACCTTCATATCAGTTAATGTAAACAAGGGCATTACCTGGCTTTCTCCAAGGTTTATCCTCAAAAGAATCTAAATCTACTTCCAGAAGTGGCACACCATTTATACTCCCTGGTGCATCCAGATCTACCCCTTTAACTTTTGCACCTGTGAAGAAAAGTCAGAGAGTTAGAGTGTAAACAGCTGTAATACGCTTAAAATAGTAATAAAAAGTCAGATTTAAGTTTATCAACAAGTTTTGGAAGTGAAAATAATTTCCTTAACCTAAAACAATCAAACTTTTTTTTTCATTTTTACTAGTATTACTGTGTCAGTATTTTCTTACCAGAAGATCCATAAGTTCGTCCTCCTCCTGTCTTAATATTGAGATTCACAGGTGCTGCTCCATAACTTGAAAGAAATCAACAAAAAAATGAGTTAGACAGATAAAACTCTTAAAACAGAAGAAAACACAAAACAAGAGTTAGCTAGATCCAGAAACAAACTGGACTCAGGCTCAATCGCCATCCTGAACCTCTAGCTTTCCAAGCTGGTAACACTGTAAAGAGATCAGCCTAGGAGGAAGAGAGTGTACCTTTCTATGCTCAGTAGCAACTTCTCCAACTAATAAACAGTTGTGAAGCAAGTCCCAGTCACTCTTCCTGAGTTGAAAGGATAAAGACCTTCACAGAAACAAGAATGGACAGAACCAGAAGAAAGGAAGGAAAAATGCAGTTCATTTAGGGATACAGATGACACTCTGGGGATTAGAGTAAAAACAAAATAAATAAAAAAGGAAAGGGTTTAGACAGATCCTTTTCTCTTTTCATAACTATTTCATTTAATCCGTACAGAAGCATAAAATGCAAGCATTTCTCTACAATGACTGAAAGGCTATTAGTTTCAATGTACTTCCAGCAAATCACCTATTCTTGTGACTAACAGAAAAGTATGTAGCATTCTGCTTTCTTAAACACTTGAGAGCTTTATTCATAAGAATGTACTCAGAAATCTTGATACTGGACCGATATAACTACATTAGGAATTACAGTACTGTTCATTTGGAACACTGAGAGCTTGCTTTCACTACCATTTGCGTATAACGTAGTTCATCCTCACAGGTGGTACAAACCCATGGACATAATGAGATTACCATGTAATTAGAAGGCAGTATATAGTTTACAGTACCACTTCCATGCAGTTTTAGTTTACATTCAAGTACAATCAGTATAAAACTAACACAAAACATTTAACCTTCTTGATCTGCTATGCTGTATTTGTGCATGACTTTGTCAAACAAATCTCATGAGTGTTTTTTCAAACAGCAGTTGACTACTATATGAAAAATCATTTAATCCTATGAAAGGAACTTGTTATCCTGAAGTTAAAATGAAAAGCGATGTTAAGTTTGGTTTAGATTACTGCTTTTCCATGAACTTTCTATCCAACTGGCATAGAAAAAAAGGTTTTTCAGAAAACAACCATTTCTACATAAAACTTTCTACTCTAATTCCATTTAGCATCATCTGCTCATTATTTTATGTATTCTGGAAAGAGCACCAGCAAATAAACCAAGAATATAAATCTAGTTTTGTTTTACTCCCACAAAATTTGAGGTTGCTTCCTACACCACAAGCATACTGCAAGTTACTGAAAGCAGACGAAGAAAGAACTGAAAGAACTGCTATTTCTTATAATACAGTTAGTTTAGGATATGAAATACTGAAAGTTTAAAAATACTATGTTTCAAAAATGAGTAAATCACCTGCATTCTAAAGTTAAGAACACAATAATATGCATGAGTCAGACCTACCTGCAGACCTGATATAATTCTAATAAGAATTATGCTTTTTTAATGCTGGTTTTAATAAGCATAAAAACATTAGGACTGCCAAGACAAACAAGCAAACCACTTCCCTCAGCAAGCTTCCATGTAATGAAAAATAGTATTTTGTAATTTGGGGTAAAAATTAACACTGTTTGAAAGAGTTCAGTGAAAAACAAGTCTTTTATCAAGAGAAGGCATATAGAGCAACAACAGTAGCAAAAGAATTTTTACATAGTACAAGTGCCAAAACCATGATGTTGAGAAATTATCTCCAGAGACTGGCAGCTCCATCCTGAAGTACGTTAAATACTTATTTGAGAACATCAGCAAGACTTGAAACCATCGAGGTCTAATTAGAACTGTCTCCACTACAAACAGGACTAAAGAGAAATGCTTCTAATGTTCTCCATGGTTACCGCTCTACCATTTGCACAGAAATATCACTGTCACATTAACAACCCTAAAAATATCATGTAACACAGCTATTCCATAATTAATAACAACACTCAACTTTACAAACTTAATACTATTATTTCTCAAAATCTGAAAACAATTTAACTCATGTAACAGCTCTTAACTCATATAACAGCTCTTCCATTATGACATTTAATTGACTTTGTTTCACTTTTTTATTTTTAAATCCCTATATCCTTAAAAACATTGTTAAAAACCTGAAAAAAAAAAACAAATCCAAACTAAATTGACACTAACTATGCATACGATTTGCCGCTGACTAATATCTAAGAGCCTGAATTAATAATTACATGCAATCTTGGAAGATCCCCCAGTTATTATTTGCAAATAACTTACCCATACTGTGGAGCTCCTGTTTTAATATCCCCTATGGTGACTTGAACATCATCTTCATCATCATCACTATCACTATCACTGTCATCGTCAGCCTCTGCCACCTTCTACAAAAGAAAAAGTCATTGCTTAGACAAAAAGCAGTCACTTACCTTTATAGTGGAAAAATAATCCAGTCAAAACTATCTGTTCTAGAAATCTCTGAGAGGAAGAACTTCTTCTAGACCTCAAAACTGAGTATCATTAAGAGTACACTTAGGAGGCTCATCTGATGAAATGCTACAAGAATCTGAGACATCTCCATCAAAAAAGGGAACTATCTTTAATACTAAGGTCTGTTTCTGAAGCATGACATTTCCTAAATAAGCATAAAATGGCTTCCACTAACATCCTTCTTCCCTCCATCTAGCTCACACGTACTGGTTTTACTCTTGTCAGTCAGGAAAGAGCCTAAACATATGCAAGACTAGCCTCTTGCCATTACATGTCCTGAGTAACCAAAATGTTTTTCCAGTTGTAGACACTGTGCTTCAGAAAAAATTTATTCAGCTCCTAGCATTAGTAAACTATGTAAAATGCTTGAGATTTTCAGTGAACGGGATAAAAATACAGATACAAAAGCACACTGCATGCTGTTCTAGCCCACAACATTCAAGCTTGCTGATAAATAAAATTGTCATGCCAGTCCATACGAACAGTTCATCTAGTCCAGCATTTTTGGTTTGTTTGGTGTTTTGTTTTAGTTTTCCCCTCCCAGAGACCACAGAGGAGAGAAAAAAAACCCCAGGGCAAACGCATATGATGTTCCACCCTAACACCCTCTCAGCTGCTGATTATTATCAGGTCAGGGAATTCCCTAAGTCAGTTATGGTTTGTCTTTTTAGTAACCCCTAACGGATCCTTCTGTCAAGTACTTGCCCAGAATTCCCTTGGACTCACATAAACTCCCAGCAGTGACACCCTCTTTGGCAAGGAGCTCCATAGCACTGTCTACTGCATGAAGATCCAACCTCATTTCTTTCTTTCCATCCTGGCCGGCTCCTACAACTTTATTTTAAAAGTTACAGTTCTCACGGTAAGGGACTGTGAGGAGTCAATCCTTATTTATAAGGCCCATACATGATTTTGTTAGCCTTCATCATATGCTATATACGCTTCTCTTCCTGGTTGGGAAGTCCTTATGTACTCAGCCATTCCTTGTATGAAAGCTACCTCAACCACTCTTCCTCTCTCAACTTTTTTCAGTTGAAGTCTTTACAATACCACAAAATTCAGGGTGCAATTGAACCATGAATTTATGGTGTAAAGATATCTTTAGTTTTGTTCTCTAATTATTTTCTGCAACATCCAAAAGTTTAACTGCTTTTTAGACTCCATACAAGCACGTAACCATCAGTTTTGTGGATCTTTCTATGTATCTTAGCGAGTCCCTCCTAAGTGGCAATGATGACCTCAGAGATCACCATTTTATTTGTAAGCCTCTTTTCCTCACTCTTCTTTTTCTACACAGAATTTCAGTGACCATTTATTAACCAGTTAGTTCTTCAGAGATAGTCCTTGAATAACTTTCTAATATCAGAAAACTTGTAATCCCACAATTTGCCCCTTTTTCTAAGTAATTTATAAACACACTAAACAGCACAGGTTATGCACAATGTTACAGTGAATCCCTACTGGAGGTGATCCTCCTTCACTGCCTAAACTGAACTTAGACTTTTACCCTATGTTTTCTATCTTTTACACGTCAACTATAATGAGAAACTCCTCCTATACCTGCTTACTTTTCTTAAAATCCTTTGGTGAGGAACTTATTTAAAAAAATCTTTGTGGAATCCAAGTGAACTTTATCAATCAGATCACTCTTATTCACATACTTGTTGAATCCTCCAGCATGAGTCTGAACATACCAAAGTCAAGTTGATTCTGTCCAGGTAGTCTGAAGTTTTCCAAGCATAGCCAAGCTCTAACCCTTACCTACTGTACCATCTCTAAACTTGCCTAGTACATAAATTAGACAAAAATAAGCAGTTGTGCAGAAGATAAGATATTGGAGTACAGTTCTTCCTTGCTATACAACATTAATATAATTTACATAACAATTAAGAGTATAATCTAGGGGGAGGTAGTCTACATCAGTATAGATATCCTGTAAATGACAGCTGAGCACAGAACACAGCCTTCAATGCTGCAGAGCTGAAGAGAAAGAGTTCACCAATCTCCCACACCCACTCAGGCAACCCACTCAGCAGAGAGCCATTACAAATACACTGAACAGAAAATAAAATTTTGTCTGGAGCAACGAAAGCCAATTTCACTTACAAAAAATGCTTTCTTGGTTCCTTCCTCACAGAAATAGTCTCCTTTTCTTATTCAACCAGCTTGAACACCATTCATTTTTCTAGGTTGCTGCTAACCCTTCACACGCACCTTTTAACACAAAGTTCTCAATTCTGTGGACATATTCTGATGATATCCTAACAACGCTAGGCTTTAGATAGGTGAAAAATACAAAGAGAGGCAAGTACAAGGGAAGTGCTTCAATAAGGATTTTCAGAAGTATTTTGAAACTAGCAAGTCTTCTCTGTGTACCTAACATATTAAACCTACTGCCCACTTACAGGATTAGCATCAGCACGAAGTCATTGGTGCGCTTAAATTAAAGCTTTTCAGTTTAAACAACTAAAATAGGGTTTTAAAGTTTTCCCCCAACTTTAAGTAGTTATAATATCTTTCATAAATAAAGTATTAGACTTACTGGAAAAAATATATTTTTGAGAGGGCAGTCCTTAAAATTTTCACAAATGAGAGTTGTTACTGCATCGCTTAAGAGAATTCTTGCAAGATATAACCTAAATATCCCATTTAAGTAACACTACTATTTTTTCATAGAAAAGATTGAAACCATTTCCATTCACAATAAACTGAAGCTTTTTATCAACACTGCAACTGTAAATTTCATTTCCTGCTCCCTTCCTTCACCCTACTAACGCTGAAGTTCTGACATACTGCACATAGAAGACTACTACTTAGCAAGTCTGTTTTGCTGCCTCTGAAAGGTATACATAAGTCACCTCTTAACCCATATTTTCACACAGTTTGGCAAATGCTGATTGTTTATCACACACAGAAAGACGGAAAATGATCAAGGGATCTTATTTTCCTATCAGTGAGAAAAATTACAGAGTATCATTTTGACAACATGTTTTCTAGAAAAGGCAGCTATCTTGAAGCACCGCCTTTCCCTGCAAAGTAAGGGAAGCATTATTCATCTATTTTTTTTGTAAGTTGGATTTAAAAAGTGGACTGAAGGTAAAAATTGGATTTCTTAACTTAGTAATTTCTACAGAGTTTCTGCAGATAGTGTCAAACACCTTTCAGAAAAGAAAAAAAAAGCAGCATACATTTATGCATTAAATTTAATGGTAAGTCCTAGCCAAATTATGAATACCCCATAAATCAAACCAAATTAAAGCAGTATTCCAAAACCACATTTAAAACTACCGTTTTCACAACGCCATTTTCTGCAGCTTCCTCTTCATTTCCAGGTGGGGGTGGAGCACTTAAACAAAAACAAACAGAGAAAGATGAAAGTAGGTATCTATGCACATATTATTCCACATGATGAAAAAAGCCTTACTATATCATTCTGGAAAAGATCCAAAGTTCCATCTATCTTCTGCATTAATTAAAATAATTTATTAAATGAATTTCTAGATGAATGTAGCTTCATATTAGCAGGATAATATTTAGCTATCAGAAGTCATACTAACCAGATGGTCACAGAATAGTTGCAAGTGAAAAGGCACTACACCTGGATCCGCTTTTGAAATCAAAGTGAAATGTTTCATAATATATGAAGAATAACAGTTTTCTTATTTTTTGCCCCTGCAGACTTTTCAAAGACATAATGGAAATTAAATAAATACCCATAGGTAATGTTGCACGGAATTAAAATTCTGACATCTGCATTGTGAAACTTTCTTCCACCATACAGAATAGCTACAATTCAATGATGAATTCAATCAGATTTTAACTGTAGACTGAAAACTAAGTTTTAAAACTACTGGTCCATCTAAAGTGAACAGCACTGTCAAAACCATGCAAACAAGCCGTGTCACTGGGTTTACCTACTGCTGCTTATTTCACAGCAATGTTTTCATTTCCACAGTTCCATTAACTGTTAGGATGTTGCACCACAAACAGCAGAGTAAGCAAGGAGCCATTTAGAAACAATATTCTTTCACTGAAATAATATCTCTGAAATGGACTGAGCAACTGCCAATTTTTATTGAACAGAATGATTTTGATCCCATCTTCTGTTGGCAAAATACCCACTCATAAGCACTGCACCAGAGCACAGGCATGACCCCAAGATTTAAAATTGACCAATCCACTTCATCACCCATTAGAATGAGAGGCTAGCTAAAGAACTTGAATAAAACCTCACAATTCTTAAGTATACCTGAAAAAGGCCAAAACTAACAGTCCAGAGGCCAAAACTTTGAACAGGTAAAATGTCACCAAACTTCCAGAGTTCCAAACACAGCTCATGAGATGCATATACTACCATTCGTTTTGCTTTTTAGTCCATACTATGTATTGAAGCAGCCAAATGTCAAGCCAGACTCTGCTAACCACTGTTTCTAAAGATCATTTTGGTTGCCAGGCAAATAATTTTCTTAAAACAACAGTAATACTGACAAAAGCGCCAGGTCAAGAAAAGGTACCTGGACACAAGGAATCAATTGATATAGAATAGCTTCCAAATAAAGAGCAAATAAATAATTGGAATTCTCTGTGCTGCAAGAGACGATCCAAGATAAATGCAACAGAGGTCTAGAAAACTGCTAAGTGACAAGGAAAAGGCGACAGGAAACAACTCTGTTTCTTATACAAGAACTAACTGGAAGTGACTGTACCAGTAACTGCTTCAAAATGACAATCTATATGGCCAAGTGGTGGAGGTCATTACTGCTGTATCACTCTTTCCCTGTCAAAATCTGACATGAGTTAAAAAAAAAAGCAATTAAGCAAGCTTATGGACAAGAAGTCCACCAAAGGTAACTCAATTCAAGAGTTCTTGAAAAAAATCGCTGCTGACTGGAAGCATTTATAGAAAATAAAAATTCATGCTTTCTTGCATTGGCTTCCCTTTTATTAAATTTATCTTGACAACCAATAATTTCCACAGTTTATCAATGATTTTCAAAGGAACATCTTTGTGCTTTCCCTCATATAGCTCCTTACAGCTCAAGCAGGCTGCCCCAAATATTTCCAAAGTTTTTCCAAATTTCCTTCAAAAACTCTCTTACTAAAAAACACAGCCCCCAAACCATCAGCTGATGTGTTATGTAACATGCACATCAAACTAACTGATAATCTTCTACTGCTTCTTTGTATTCTTCTTTTTGTAACTACACTGTAAACTCTCTGGGAGAGAGATTTGTCTTTTAATTTCTCATTTACCTCTAACAAATGAAGTCCTGATCCATTACCAAGACTGCAAAGCACCACGATTACAGAAATAAACGACCTCTTGGCATTTTGTGAGGAACTACTGCTCTCCATACAATTAAAACTTCAAATAACTGTTATACTCAACCATCCCAATTTCCTAGGTAAAACCATTTCACAGAAAAGCCATGTCATTCTAGCAGACAAAACATACTATGTTAAGGGGATTTTCAAAGACACCATAGTGTGTCCAGGTGCTATGAACTTTCAAGAAGTTGGGAAAAAGAATGTAAGTAACAACTTTTTTGTGCAGCCATGCTACAGGGCTCCCATTTGTCAAGATGCTCACCTAGGTTTTTCTTCCTCTGGTCTCTCTGCTTCATTTTCATCTACCACAAGAGAAAAGAAATAGAGTAGTTAAGAATAAAATCCCCTTAATACCAATCATGACAGATATCTTGCCATGCAGATGGATTAGGTAACTCTTCAGTTTATTATTGAGACATTTTCATAACATTTCAATTGTGAAACCAATTGAGCAGACCTCTGAGCCCTCACATCACTCAATGCTCACAGATCTTCTACACTGGCAGGGTTTATTTACAAGTTTCGTTATGATTTCAACTTAAAGTCCCTGAAGTTGTGAACAAAGTTTATGCCCTAAAGTTTAAGGTTGCTTCAGTACTTCAACGCCGGGAGGCCAGGCAGGGGGTACTGAGGAGAAGCTCAGCCGCCCCAGGGGTGCGTGTGGGGCAGGAGCGCCATGCGGGAGGCCTAGCATGCCTCGAGCTGCGCAGCCAGAGCAGAGGGGCCGGCAGCCAACCGCCCGTGGAGGAGGGGGGCAGGGAGCCGGCACCGCCACGGCGGGGAGGGGGTCGCTCACAGGCCCGGGACAGCACCACCGGAGGGCCAGCCAGGAGGAGGGGACTGAGCAGCCACGGGGCGGGGGGGGCAGGACGGGCGGACGCCTTTAACCGGCCGCTGGCTGGCCCGGCTCGGTGGGCAGGCGTGGGCCGTACTCAGGCCGGCCTGGCGAGGTGGCGCACGCCGCGGCCTACCCACCCCCTCTCCCTCCGCTACGGCTGCCGGGGAAGCGAGCCGGGCCGGCGTACGGGGGAGGTGGGCTGGGAGTGGGGGTCTGGGAAGGTCCGTACCGCCATAGAGCCACTCCTCCTCCTCGTCCCCGGCGCCCCCACCGAGATCCGCCGACAGCCGCTCCACCTCGCCGGTAGACATGGCCGCCTCCCGCGGGAGGTGAGGGCCCAGGCCCGACGTCGCCTGGGCCTCTCGCTGCTGGGCAACACCACTGCGCTCTCCCGGGCCTCCGCCGGCGTCTCAGGCCGCAGCCGGGCGGCGGCAGGGGGGTCTACGAGCGTCCCGCCGGCCCAACGGCACTGCTCGCGGAGGAACCTCCGCCGCCTGCTCGCGGCTTCCCCTCCCCCGCGGAGTGAGTGACACGCACAGGAAGCGGGCCCGGCCCGGCCCCGCGGCGCCCCGGGCACGGGCACGCGGGGGGCGGCCCCGGCGGAGCCGGCCTCGCTGCCCGGGCCGCTTTGGCACGGCCGGTACCCTTTCTGCGCGCTGCCAGGCGCTGGGACTCACCTCGGCTGTGCCTTCCCTGGCCGCAGCGTGCCTGCCGGAGCCGCGTTCGCTTCCCCGCGCTGCCCTTTGTGTCCGCTGCTCTCGGCGGTCCTTGTGCTCTTCTGCAGCCCCAAGCGCCCGTTCGTCGTCCCTTCAGCAGGGCTTAATGGCAGCGTGGCGATCTCCGCTAGGACATCCTCGCCCGTCTCCAGAAGCAGGACTTGGCCAAACACATGTACCGTCCAGTGCTGTGCTTCTGCTATTGGAGACTGATGGCAGCTGCCAGTGGGGAGCGTAACCACGGGATAAATACGCTGTTACTTTTACTAGTACTGTCTTAGCCTCAGCTCAGGGAGTCTCCCAGCTGGAGGTAATATTTTAACAACTCCTTATAGATTTTTTTTTTTCCCCTTCCATAAATTGCCTAGTTTTATTTTTAGCTCCGGTGGGAGTTTAACATTCATAGTACACTGTGAATACACAGAGTGTAACTACACATTTCACAAAGAAATTGCTCTATTTTAAAAGCGGTGGGAAGAAGCAAGCTATTTTTATTGATGATTTTCTCACCTTACATCTGTGAATGCTGTATTAACAACTGCAAGATTCATTAGAAAATTTAAGTACAGCAACTATCAAAACAAGTTTTGACCAGATGTCTATACAAATGGAGTCTTCACTGTCTTAGGATGTTTGCTAAAACTAAAGAAGGGACCCCTTTTTCACAGCAGGACAGCTTGTGAAAAAGTCAAGTATAGAAGGCCTGTGTATATTAGAAACACATCATGACTCTGGGTGGGGGGAGCTGGTTCTTTGAGTTGCCTGCATAGCGAACCTTGGTTTAAAGTTTCATATATGGCATGACATTTCACTGGAGTTCACATGGACAAACTACCTTCTCAAAAGGCATTTTTTTCCCCCTGAAATGAAGTGTTTGTGTGTTGTGTCCAGATGATGTACGGCATAATTGGGTAGGTTTTCATCATGCAATTGTGAAGTCAATATTTTCACCCAAAACATTTTTAACCACTTGTTTCTCATAAAATCAATTTGTATTGTAGTACTTCTTACTTGGCATTAGCCTCTTTCTTAATTTTCATTCTGGTTTTGTTTACTTGGCCATTTAACACACTTCTGGCTAACATTAAATGATGCAGTAGAACTCTTGATTGCAGATGCAAGAAGAAAGAAAATATGTCTGTGGAAAACACAAAGAGAAATCAAGAGCAGGTGTAGAGGATAAAATCTCTTAAAAAATATCAATCAGAACCTCAAAGCAGTGTTTCTGGTAGAAACCTTTAAATACACATCACATTGAGCTACTGGTGATGTAAAAATCCATCTTGAGCAGCTTGAACACTGGAAGCTGACTCCGGAAGGCTAAGGCCCAAAAATAGTTGCCAGCATTCCATCTGTCCCAGGAAGGTCTTTACCCACCTCTGGTTCTGGTTGGACAGAGAGGGTGCTTTGAACCTGTTTCCTGCTTTTCTTCTGGGGACAGAGTGCTGGCCTAGATGGCATTTCAACTTCTGCCCTCAAAGGTGAAACCTCCCACCAGTCCCAGCCTCCAGAAAGGACCTTGTAGGTTCTTACAGCAGCACAGAGCGCGAGCAGCTGTTGAGGCCTGAACAAAAGGCTTCTCCCAAGGCCCCGAGTAGCTAAAAGGCCAAGGACAGAATATGACATCTTTGCGAGCTGCATAAACATCTTAACTCACAGGCTGCACTCCAGAGACCCACAGCAAGGTAGCAAGTTTATGGGAACCCTTTAATACAGTTCTTTTTCTGGCAGAGTAGTTGTAAATTTGCACATAGGCTAAAATAAGTTGTAAAAACTACTTAGATGATTTTGGTTTGTAATTTAACCACTGTGCTTCAAACTGATTAACCTTGCTTTGTCTTCTGGCTAGTGATCCTTTTTTTTCCCCACATCAGAATATGCAGAACTAGTTGTAATCTATACGATATTTATAAAGTAAAAAACTTATTTGTTTCCTTAAAAAAGCATCTGCTGTTTTGATGCTATGTCTGAAAAAAAAACCAAACAACCAGCCTTTCCAAAAAGGTAACTAAAGAGTTGGATGAGCCATAATATATTCAGCTTTTGTCCATGGCACTCAAGCATAAAGCAAAAGGTCAGCGATAGATAATCTCCGAGGTAATTCAATGTGAGAGGAGGATAATTCTGCACAAGTGGTTAACCATCCCTGATCCTTTCTTTGCATGCATCTTTCAAATCAAAACAATCAAGAAGGGCTACTAACTTGCATATTTTTTAGCATCATAAATTTAATGCTGCAAGGTTAAAATAACAGATCAGGGTTAGAACAGCACAAAGACCTACGTCTGAGTTTGGAAGAGGAACGAATGCATCAGGGTAGGAATGAGCATGGAGCAGACTGGAAGGATTTAATTTCATTACTGGAAATCTGGTGATTCTATGTTACTTATGTTTTTCAGTGTTCTGAAACCAGCTGAACCTGCAAGAGACCTAATGAGAACAGTTAAAAGAGTGGATGAACCAATTAAATTATTTATCTTTATGTAATTGCTGATAATCCCATTATGTTAAAAAAAAAAAAAGCTCCTCATTCTGTACTGAAGAGGTCCTAGTGAAATACTACACAGATCACAGATTTGCAAGTGAGCCATCCATTCTCTGGTGAGAAGAAAGTGTAGATACATATTATGGCATTTTTTCTAGCTAGCTTTGGAGCTGATTTTGAGATCAAGAGCTTTTAAAAGGAGAATCACCGAATAATAGAATCAACCAGGTTGGAAGATACCTTTAAGATCAAGTCCAACTGTTCCCCCAGGACTGTCAAGTCCACCACTAAACCATATCACAGAGGGCCTCATCTACATGGCTTTTGAACACTTCCACACAGTGATTCCACAACTGTATATCATTAAAAAAATCATTTATTACAAGAGAATATTCCTTGTTGCTAGCTCATGAATGGCTAGATTTTTAAATACTAACACAAGAAATACAGAATTATAGCACAGTGAACGGTGATGGAAGTTTCACCTTTCCAGCGCTGTACATTTAAAACAGTATCAGCAAAACAGTTGTTTTCGTGGTATAACAAAGACACCACCGCCGCACGAAGAGGTAGTGACGTAAATAGTAACGCTGATTGGTTTAACATTTACCCGGCAGAAGTTCACAGGCTGTGCGAGAAAACGTCAGGTAAACCTTAACTGTCAGTGCTCACTACGTCCCACCGGTACTGGCCAGGGCTACACACTGCAGTGGCATTCCTAACACAAGACTATAGGTGAGAGGAACATTTTACCGCCTGTCAGCATTTGGCACTGGCAGCAGATGGAAGGGCCCCCGCCCTCTCGCAGAGAGAGGACCCTGTTGGTGCTCTCGCGGTGTAACAGACCTGGCCGGGGGTTAACCCCAGCGGACACCAAGCCCCAGGCCGGGCAGCTGCTCAGGTGAGATCCCACAGCCCAGCCCAGCCCAGCCCAGCCCCGCAACGGGAGCAAAGGCCGCACCAGCACCGTTAACCCGGCCAAGCCCCGCAGGTACCCCGCCTGACTCCCGCCGGTTCTGTCAGGGAATGCCCGCCCGCCCCTCCGGCCGGCCGGCAGCCAACCCGAGCCCGCTACGTCATTCCTGGTCGCCGCTGGCGCGCCGCGCACGTGCGGTGTGTTGTGGCTGTCAGCGCTGCGTGCCGCCGCCATGGCGCTGCCGGTGCCGGAGTTGCAGCGGGTGTGCCGGCAGGCCTGGGAGCCTGTGCTTGCTAGGGCGCGCCAGGCTGTCGTCCTCCTGGACGCGGCGTCCGCTGAGGCGCTGCACTGGGGCTGCGGCGGGGCGGGAGAGCTGCTGGCGGCGGGGGCGCTGGCCGTCAGGGCGCTGGCCGCTGAGTCGGCGGCGGGGGCCCGTGTCGTATTTGTGGTGAGCGGGGGGCTGCGGGGCGGCACAGCTGCTGCCGTGCGCGGTGTGCTGGGCCGGGGCGCCGTGCGGCACTGCGTGCTGGTGGCCGGCGGCGAGGAGGAGGGCAGCGGCCCGGCCGAGCTGGAGGAGACGCTGCAGCGGTGGATGGGCGAAGGTGGGCGCGCTGAGGTAGTGCTGCGGGGCCCGCCGCTCCTGGCGCCTGTCTCGGCGGAGCTGTGCCTGCTGCCAGGACTGCCGGCGCTCCTCCCGCCTCTGCCTGGCACCGGCGGGCCCGGCCCCGTTGAGGTCGGTGTGGGCGCGCTGCCCGCTGAGTTGCGGGCGGCGGTGCGGGCCCTGGTGGAGGACCTCGACGCTTTCCTCACCGCGGTGGGCCTGCGGGAGGAGAGCTTCGCCGTGGGGGCCCTCAGCAGGGTCGTTGCTGCTGAGCTGGCAAGCTATGCCCCAGCCAGGAACAGGAGGAGGATGGCCACCAGCAAGGCCTCCATCGTCTTCGTGGACAGGACGTTGGACCTCGCTGGTAAGAAATCCACTGCTGCTAGGGGCTGTCATCCCCACGGGCCCACATCTGCTCCATCGGGAGGGTTTTATGTAGTTGCAGGAGTCCTGGGAGCATGTTCAGCACCATGGCCGAGGTGTCTGCTCACACGTTCCCCACTGAATCATGGAAATAGTGAAGCAGAAGGCTCTGCCAGAAACAAGGGTTTGTTTCTGCACTTAACTGTGCTGCAAACTAGAGACCTTAGCAGTGCTTTTTTGTCATACCGAGGTGTGAGGGAAATGGTCTGCATGTTTCACATTGTGCCTTGTGGGTATTGTGAAGCACCAGTGTATCTACTTATAAGCATTAGCTTTATAGTGGTGTAAATATATATACATCTTGTATACGCTTAGCTGTTTATGTATGTCTGAAAGTGTCTCCGCATGTATATAGTTTTTATATGTTGTGCTTTACACTTGGTCTTTGAGTGAAGCAGTTGCACAC